ATCATACATGATCTATAGATTAAAAAAAAATCTCTTTATGGTGGATGTACAGTGCTTTGCATTGTTCTCTCTTTAATTAATGAAAGATTCCCTTTACTTCGTATGGTGTGTTTAGAGGTTGGAAACTGGGTTGTTCGATCAACATGGTATCAGAGAGCCTAGTTCGTCTCTTTCTCTAAAACAATCTAGAATCCAAGTCTATTCCACCTGTCATACATGGTCTGTAGATTAACAAAAATCTCTTTATGGTTTAACAGAAACTGACATTATTTCCACAATTTAGTTGTCAATAACAAGTCTAACATGAGAAATAACAAGTGTTGAAAAGTTATTCCTAATAACTTAATTTAGAGCAGAAATTAATATTATTTTTATAACTTAGTTGCTAATGACAAGTCTAGTATAGGAAATAACAAGTGTTAAAAACTATTTACATTAATTTAAGCTGTATCAAAAGTTGGCATTATTTTCACAATTTAGTCATCAATAACAAATCTAATATAAAAAATAATAAGTGTGGAAAAACTATTTATACTAACTTAAGTTTTATTTTAAAAAATTGATATTATTTTCATAATTTAGTTAGCAATGACAAATTTACTATGAAAAATAATAAGTATTTAAAAACTATTCACATTAATTTAAGTTTTATTAGAAATTACTATTATTTTCACAATTTAGTTACTAATGACAAATCTCGTATGAAAAATTATAAGTATTGAAAAGCTATTTATATTAGGATAAATGGGCACCCAATACCCCAATCTTTTTTTTTAAGGAGCACCCAACACCCAAATCTTTTTTATAGTTCAATTTTACCCACCATCTTTTTTTTGGGTGCAATTTTACGCATTCCTAACGGTCCTCTAACGTCTGTTAATACAAACATGTTTTTTTAAAAAGAAGTCCACCTCAGCAAGAGATCATGCGGCTTACAAGGATGAAAATTGCCAGATAATAATAATAGTAATTTATTAATTTACATAGAGATACAAGGAAAAAAAAAACCGAGCTATATCTGTGCGCCCACTTTGCAAGCATTGTAACCCCACTTGTGTTTTGTGATTGGGAATGTTAGCATCTAGAGAAGGAGAAGGCAACAAATCGTGCAAGCCTGCAAGGAAAGTTGTCTTGGTTTGGAAAGATAACAACTTGGTTGGAAATTTTACTTTTGTTTTCTAACCTGTCTTCTACTTGATGCTGTTGAAGATGAGTTTGATTCACCCATCAAACATTCAATTGAAACAAGCCACAAGTAAAGTCGATTCTATCTTAGCAATGGAGATTTTTTATTCACCGTCTTCCTCACGACCTCCGCTGTTGCAATTTGCGATTCGCTTTAGGGTTTGTTTCTTTTGCTGCTACTCTTCTTAACTTCAATTCCTTTTTTCTTAAACTGAGTAAATAAATAAACTAAAGCTTTAATTCAATCAGATATTATGTGTCTTTCAAATGCCTGTGTGGATTTTTTTTCTACAACAAATTGCTTACATGTTAACAGGCATTTAGAAGGTCGTTAGAAATGGATAAAATTGCATCAAAGAAAAAAGATAGTGGGTAAAATTACACTACTAAAAAGATTAGGGTGCTCCTGTAAAAAAAGATTGGGGTGCTGAGTGCACCTTTATCCCAAGAAAAAAATATTAAAAAATAGAGAAATTTAAATTAAAAAGTAAATAATTGTTAATAACAAGTCTTTGTTAAGCAATAATAAATCCTCATTGTGAAATAACAAGAAACTCTTTTAATGGTCCCTTATAAGCGAATCCATTTACGTGTATTTATATGTATAACAGATCCATTTATATGTTCAGCGTTTCAAGTTTAAATTCTTTAAATCTTTCGCTTATAAGCAAATCATTTATTATCATCATTATTTAACAAGAACTAGATACAATAATGATACAATAAAAGGAAACAAATGCGGTTGTTTCTTATTGGTCATCATCACACTATTGATTCTTCAATGATTTTTCTTCATATATCATGTTTATATTGTAGAATTTAGAAGCAAAACTCTTTAGAAACTGCATCGAAGTTTGTTTACCTTGCTTGACTGTGTCAGCCAAATCGGTTTTCACCTTTGATTGTAAATTATGTCTTTGCTAATGTTTCTTTCAAGCATGTGAGAAAATAATCTTTAGGATATTTACTAAATCTTTCTGTATATTGCCTATAAATTACTTGGAAAGGCATCTCCAACATGCCCTGATTCATATTTTGCAGAAAGATTTATGCACAAGAGTTTGGACATTTGTCAACTTTGAGTTTGGAGCTAACGTGTGCCTCAATTTACTAATATTTGCTTTCTTATGATCGATCCTTTAAATTGCGTTCAGAGGTCAATTGTTACTGTCAATGCTTGAGAGGATTTTGTCAACAAGCTCTTGAGGAATCTCTTTTGCGCATTTTGACCATCCTTTTGACGTCTTGTAGGCTTGGTTTAGAGAACTTCCAAAATTTAAAAGTATATGACACTACTCCAAAATACTTTAATTATTTTTTAGTCCTTGCTATTTTTTTATTCCTAAAAATTTAAAATCAATGTTTCTTGTTCTTAAAATTTAAAACTATGTCCTTGCAATTTTTTTATTCCTAAAATTTAAAATCAATGTTTCTTGTTCTTTGTTCTTAAAATTTAAAACCATCTTTAGCTTACAAGACCAGCAGAGTAAATTTCAATGACTTAAAATATTTTGGAGGCATTTGATAACTTTACAACTCTTTTAGAGCTTAAACCATTGTTTCACTTCAAAATCATCCAAACATTTATATATTTTTAGAAAATTAATTTTTTGCTTCAAACCACGGTTTGAGGCTGGAAACCAAAGTTTTTAGAAAAGTGAAAATTTTTTGCTTTTGGGATGTTGAAAGGAGGGCAACTAGATGTGGACAAAAATATCCTTGAGGTTTGAAAGCAAAGCAAAAGGATACAATATGTTTATTTAATTTCTAAAAATATACTTATTAATCTTATAATTTTATACACATTAATTATTAATTGATTACATAACTAATAAATTGTTCTTACATATGTTTATTAAATTTTTGAAAAAATATTATGGGATTTCATACTTGAAAATTTTAAAGTAAAACAATCATTTTTCTAAAAACATATTTAATATTATATTTTATAAATATACATACATATAATAATTATCAATTAACTATATTTTTTCATATATTATTTATTATGTTGGAAAAATATGTTATTTCAAATAAAAATTAAAATTAAAATCTATCTATTACGTAATTATTATATTAATTTATGCCCATTTCAGTAATTTGTACATGAAAAAGTTATTTTAATAACAATTATCCAAACATTTTCATTTTATCAAAATCACTTTTTTCACAAAATCTATTCTTTCAAAATCTATTCTTAAAATATTTTTTTTCTCAGAAGTTATTCTCTAAATCACGGTTTAGTTTTATTTAAACACCCCTATGGTTTTGGGTCAGTGAAATCATAGTTTCACCTTAAGAGAAAAACTTTCACCTTTTGAAAGATTGAATGTGTGGGTATTGCATAACTATTACAGTATCCAAGTAAAGCCAAAGGTGAGTGTCTAGAAATACCCTTGAGCAAAAGTAAGAAACTTCACATTTTATCCTTCCTCATTCTACTTTTCTTTGTCATTTTATTCCACTTTCTTGTCGCCTTTTTATTTCATTTTTTTTCTATATGTATTATGTTGTTAAAAAAACTAGATGCTCAAATGTTGTATATTATTGCAACCTCACAATAATTATGACACTTGATTATTTAATCTCAGACTTTATGTTGTTAAAAAAACTAGACTTTATATAATTAATAAATTGTTTTTATGTATGTTTATTCAATTTTGTAAAAAAAATTATGGGATATCATGTTTAAAATCTTTAAAGTAAAATAACATTTTTCTTTTGAAAAAAAAATCACTTTTTTTAAAATATATTTAATCTTATATTTTATAGATATACACACAAATATTAATCATTAATTAATTATATTTTTAATATTATTTATTATGTTGATAAAAAATATTATTAAAAAATTTATTACTTCAAATAAAAATATAAATTAAAATCTACCTTTTATATAATTGCTTTTTAGTAATTTGTATATGAAAAAAAGTGTTTCTAATAACAACTATCTAAACAATCTTACTTCATCAAAATCTTTTTTTTTTCAAAATTTATTCTTAAAAATAACTTTTTTTCCAAAAGCTTTTTTTTTAAATTATGGTTTGATTTTATCCAAACACTTCTATATAAAAACTTGCGAACTAATTTATATTTACCAATAGAAACAATTAAAAACATTAATATTACTTTAAATAAGCATACCAAATTTCAACACCATATTAATATATAAAACAATACTACCTCGCTAGCCAAAAAAAAAAAAAAAAAGATAATACTATATTAGTATTTAATTTGATTTTAATTATAAGACCCCAATTCATTTTGTTTTTTATATTTATTATTTTTTTAAAAGTAATCCTTATAGTAGTTACACATGTTAAAAGATTTCTTAAATAGTAGTTATAGTTAATGCACATGATTAGTAAAAGTATTTAAAGAAAGACAATACTTATTTATTATAAATAATATAACTAATTTTCTTAATAATATATTAGTTAACTAATTTTTATATTAAGAACCGGAAGTTATACTTACATCAAGTTTTTTTATGTCTACTATGTCAAGTTTTAATAGGACTGGACCTTGTGTTTATTTTTAAAAAATATGATACATGTGCATATGTGATGAGATAACTTAACATAATACATATAAACCTGAGTATTTTCCTAATTTATTTTTTGCCTGAAGTATTTTCCTAATTTATATTCTCTCATTTTTCCGTTCAAATATGAGCATGTATGAACGTTAGAACTTATTAGCTCCAATTATTAGTATCCATCAATCATCAACCCATTGATTCTACCATTAAACACCAGCGACATACTCGACCTGTCCTGTTTGGAGCATCTTGTTAGGGAATTCTTTTCTGCTTTGGAGGACATAGACTCAAGGAAGCCTCAAATCCCTAATCCCCATCTCTTCTAACTGGGAGACCTATTCCTCGCTCCGGTCACTTTCTCCCACTTCCTCTGTCGACGCCGTCTTTTGCTTCGTCCTCCATCGACGCTGTGTTTCCATTGTCTGCCTTTAACTTCGCAGCTTCCTCATCATAGTCGCTTTGTCCGTCACCCTAAATCTCGTTGCCTCCATTATTACTTGTTTAGAACCACTTCCCTTGTTGTTCCTGTTGCCTCCGTCGTTGGCATCGTGGGTTCATCGTTGGTTCTCTCCGGGTGAGTCCTCCTTCTGCTCTCATTTTCTTCTCCCTCGTTTGTGATTGCTTTCTCTGTGTGGGTAGTCTGAATCTGATTTTAAGGCAAGCAGTAGCAGTAGATTGCTAGTGGGTGGGTGTCTCAGTGTTTTAGAATTTTCTCTGTTCTTTTTGAAGCACACTATGAAGTTGTTTCTTTTCCTTTTTAGCTTTATTTCGTGTGTTTTTTTATGCATCTGGCTGCCTAAATTCTTGGATAGATCGCTTCTGGGAAAATAATGTAAACGTAGAGATATATACGTATATGTATATATAGTAAGGATAACATTCAGATAATCAAGTTAGTATGTGGCAAGGAGAACCTGGATATCCTAGATAAAATTCATGAAACACCGATACTTTAAAAGTAAGCTCTTACAGGTATTGTATCTCAGACTTTCAAGATAGAATACATGGTATATTGAACTAAACTGGAACATAGTTGTCCGTTTAATGTTTCAAAGTGGTATTGACCTTAATTCTTGCTGAAAGAAAAAGCCGGCCCTGAATAAAACAGTGGCAACATTGCTGAATGGACGTGTTAGTCATTAAAAATAACCAAACTCATTGTACTTAATGCTTTTATCAAGAGACTGAGGATGCCAAAATTACTAACTTGTAACAAGACTGTTATTTTTAAGGATTGATTTACGTATTTTCTAATTTCAAGGACTAAAGTTGATTAAACATGCAAGTATGGGACCATGTTATTAATTTACTCTAAGGTAAGCCATGGATTTCAGCTTTGAAATAAACATGCAAGTAAGGGACCATGTTATTAATTTACTCTAAGGTAAGCCATGAATTTCAGCTTTGAAATTCAAATAAACTAAAGCCGACCTTCATGGCCATTTTTCTTCTCAACTAGCAGGTGAAAATCATGGATAAGAGATCATTGATAACAAAAAGGAAGTGAAAATTAAATTTTTAAAAAAAAACAGCAGGTGAAATCTTTGATAAGAAATTCTTCATGAGGGTGCCCACAGAGTTTCTGAAAGGCTGAATTTGTCTGAGGAGCTGACAAATTAATCTACAACTTTTTCAAAAGGAAATGATAAGCCAAAATGAATATTGTTAATATAGAAAGAGAAACAAACGTTTGACTCGTATATGAAGTTATACACATAATTACATACCTTCTTCCTACTTCTTTCTCCATTTTAACAGTACCCTCTCGTGCTGTGCAATAAAATTTTGAAGTGCAGCTTTGATTGACTTCCCAAAGCAAACTCCTCTTCAAGAGGAACCCATATGCCAGCAAGGTCTGAGATGTTTGTTCTCAGAAAATTGATTTTAGCTTGTCCTAGAGATGCAGTTTCATCAAAAGGACCATCAAGATAAAAACCTTTCAAGTTCAGCACAGATGGGGGGCATTGCATCCAAACGTGAACAAGATTATATGGACCAATTGCAGTTGTTGTCAATGCGTTGAAGTTTGCAAAATACTGCACTACCAACACCCAGTTTGATTGTTTTTCTACCTGTAGGGATGCCAAGACTTGTTCCTTATCATGAACATGGTCCTTTGGATCAACAGTTTTAACATTTTCATATAACAAGCTAACATACTGATTACTGCTTTCCTTCATCCCTTTGCAAGCCCCATTTTCTATTTTTCCTTTATCTGCACAAAATTCAATCACCATGATATCAAGAGGTGTGAAAAATGTTCTTCTGGTAGTAACTCAGGTCCAGGAGTAATGATGTTGAGTAATTCCGCCCTAAAGGTCTCCCCGTACATAACTTCTGAAGTACTAGTACTGGCAAAAATAGCAAAATTCTTTCCATCAGCTTTAAAATCTGTTGTTCCTCATAGGCTCTGACAGCGTTAATTAATTTAATGGCAGCCTTGACATAAGTAAATGATCTATTTAATGAGGTTTTGATACCATCATTCTCGAACTTCCAAGGCCGTATTTGTAATTCAGTAGTAACCTGTAAATCTGCCATTGACTTGGGAAATTCAAACCAGGTGAAAATTGGTCTCAATTGGCATTCAACTCCTCTGGAGCATCAGAGTCGTGGGTTAAGTACATGCTCAAGCGAATCTCTCTTATTCCAATTCATTAGTAAAGGTATATTACATTTTCAAAGGCAAAATGCGCGTGACTTTCCCTATAGGAAACAAAATGATTTAATCTCCTCAGTGTTGATAATCCGATCTTGAAACCAATATAGTAGTTTCATAACCTTGGCTTAATCAATAATAAATCATTTGAACTTAATTTACTTGCTCAAATTATGTTAGGATTGCTTTTTGCTGCTCAGACGTACAAAAGGAAAGTTAAGGAAATACATGAAAAGGAAAAGTCACCTCTTTTTGGTTAGAGTATTGACTTGGAAAATCCTGTTTTGAAGAAAGACAGAGAGGACTAGGCTTGCTGTTAGCTAGGGTTATGGGGTTATGTTGGGGGCTGTGCTAGTCACCTTTTGAGTCTTTAAATCCTTCTTCTGGGGAGAGAGAAAGGGGAGAGAAGAATTTTGAAGTGTGGCTTTGGCCATGGGTTGGAGAGTGCCAACTTCTCAAAAATTTGGCAACCCTGTTCTGTTTTATAGTTTGTAACTGTTAATTAGAGTTGTTCATGTATTTGAGTGTAAGGGTGATATGTTCATCTTAAATCACCTTAGCCCTTGTAATCTGACTTAGTTATGCAGTAATATGATTATCAGTTTAAAGTTCTTCCCACTCTCTGTTATCTATTTCTAGTTTAAGTCTTGTTATCAACTTTGTTTGGGAGAGGGTCATATCAAATTACTTTTCGTAGAAGAGAAATGCAGTGAATTAAGGAAAAAGATTGTTCTATGAATAAAATTGATGATCTAAAGAAAAAATAACGTGGGAATTTTTATTTTTTTTTGTTGAGAAAAAAATATATTTCTCCACCTAGGAAAATTAAAAAAAAAAAAATCATATTTTGCAGCTCTCTAGGAGAGAGAACTGAAGGTCTTTGCTTTGCCCTACCCATCTCAGAAAGATGGAAACATCTTATGGTCCTGGAGCCGCTACTACCTCGGCTTCCAGCTTTATTGCCTTTGGTGCTTTTTGATTTTTTGTAAAGACTGTATAGAGCCATTTTTCTGAAATCCTCGTTCTTATGAATCTCAAACCCGCTTTCTAGCTATCACTAAATTATGCTCTTTTTGCTTAGTAGTGTGAGTTTTAATTCCCTCACCATTTCTTAACTGTAAAGCCTTTTGGTAGCTTACTTGCTTTGTCTCGCTGGGATTTCCAGTCTTTAGAATTATGGCATAGAGATTAGGCTTTAATCGGTCTATTGGTATCCATTAAATTAGTGTGCTGATTTTGCTGTTCAATGAATATATTTTTTATTTTATTTGTTTCTGTTTTTGTTGCTGATTACCCCTTTTTATTTAAAAAAATTTCATGTTTTCTTTTCTTTGCAGTTTCTTGATTCCCTGTTTGATTTGAAAATGTTTCGAATGCATTTTTCTTCTTCTTTATATTAGGGGGGGGGGTTATCTATAAAAAGAGTTTTATGACATGAACTGTACATGGAGCAAACAATTAAAACAGCTTGTTTCTTTGTATCATTGTGTCTGATGTAGATCATTTGATAGATGGTACTATAGGAGCTCATCGATTGGCTGTGGACTTGTAGAGAATGTATGGAAGAGCAGCTGGTCTTGATAGATTTAAGAAAGCTCAAAGCTTGGAACCATTTTCTGTTTCAGCCAATGCATCTTCAAAACCTAGTGCTCAGCCAGGCACTAAATTAGCCAGCCACTCCTCTGCTTTGTCTTCACAACCTCAAACTTCTTTCCATCAAGCCCAGCATCAACAACAGCCACAACAAGGGGCACAGCAGCATCATGCTTCTCATGGAGCTGCAGGATTAGAGGCAGCTCCATTGTTGGGGCAGACTCAGCAGGCAACACAAGTGGGTGGAGGACAATCAACATGGCAGCCCCCAGATTGGGCAATTGAGCCTCGCCCAGGTGTTTATTATCTAGAAGTTTTGAAGGATGGCCAGGTATTGGATCGAATCAATCTGGACAGGCGGAGGCACTTATTTGGGAGGCAAATCCAAACTTGTGATTTTGTGCTTGATCATCAATCAGTTTCTCGTCAACATGCAGCAGTCATTCCTCACAAGAATGGAAGGTTAGTTCGTTTTTTGCACATTCTTGGTATTACTAGATTTGATTAACTATATTTTTGGATAATCACCACTATCAATTGCCTTTTTGAGTATTCTTCTGATTATATTTGACATGTAAACCAAATGAATCACCCCAACTCGTGCTATCATAGCATGTGCATGACTATTTGTTGGTTTGGCATTGTTGAATTGGTGTTCTGATCATGGCTAAGGCCTATGATGAACTCAGGAGTTACAGGAGTACTTAGTTATAGTTGCATTTTTTTTTTCAATTTAAATAATAGGGTTAAGTGGTTGATCTGTTGAGCCACATGGGACCCTCCAAGGGGAAATAAACCCTCTATCATTTGCCTGAATGAAAGAGGCAGAATGGCAGATGGGTGTATACATTTTTTTTTTTTTTTGAAATGTAATTCAAGTTTTGTGAAATTGATCTCATGATCCATATTGTATTTAAAAACTTTTTTGTTCCTTCTCCAGCGTATATGTAATTGATTTAGGATCTGCTCATGGTACATTTGTTGCTAATGAGCGATTGACTAAGGATTCACCGGTTGAGCTTGAAGTGGGACAATCTCTGCGATTTGCTGCATCAACAAGAACTTACATATTAAGAAAGAATGATGCAGCTTTGTTTCCTCGTCCTCCACCGCCCGCGGAGATTAATTTACCTCCCCCTCCTGATCCCTCTGATGAAGAAGCTGTGGTTGCATACAACACACTTATAAATCGTTATGGCCTTGGCAAAGTCATTCAAGGGTCTAGAACCGTCGAGTCTGGAAAATCAGTGAGCAGACAAAATGACAACCATCAATCAGACCGAGCTTCTAAGAGAATCAGGAAGATGAGAGTCGCCTTCAGGGACCAATTAGGGGGAGAATTAGTTGAGGTTGTTGGGGTTTCAGACGGTGCAGATGTAGAAACAGAACCTGGTCCAGTGGGAGTTAAAGAAGGAAGTCTTGTTGGGAAATATGAATCCCTTGTACAGATCACAGTAATACCTAGGGGAAAAGAGCAGTCCGCTGTAAAGGAAGCTGATTCATCCCAGAAAGGGGTGACCGATAAACTGCAAGAAGTCTTGAAAAAGGTTAAAACTACACAGAAAGGTGGGATCTATGACGACCTTTATGGAGAATCATTTTCTGCCAAAGTTGGATCTTCCTGGGCCTACGCATCTGTCAGTACTGGTGAGGGAGCTCCTCCAGCTAAGGTTGAGGAAGGTAATACCTTCAGCGGAAAACCTGACAATAATCTGGGTAGTGTTGATGGAGACAATGATGATGATGACGATTTGTTTGGGTGACTAGTTAACCCCTTGAGACCTAATTATGGAATAGACTTGTGTTTGTTCTGTAACGGAGTTTCACAAGATGACGAGGAGCTGAAAAGACACTGGAAATTGCATTATATGCTTCTTTTGTTTTGTGGTTTAATTGTTGTAATGCATCCACATTTTTGTTTCCCCCTGCATTCTCCATCAACTCTAATACAGAAAGATCTGGGTTTCATGGTAAAATGGTGTGTTGATATTATCTTTAGGGAAAACATTTTACCTCATTTTGAATGCGGTCCTTAATATTATTTTCTTTTTTATTGGGTCATTCAGAACTTAACAGAGTTATGTTTATAATGAGTGAGGCGGTTGATAGCTTGATGAGGTGGATCCACCTGGCTATGTGTATGTGAGCTTTGGATCTTTCTTCCTGCATTATGATTCTGCTTCTCACTCTTTTCTGTTGGGTTTTCCACTTTTCAAATTTTATTAGCTATCCAAATCCAGCAAACATCATGATTCTTGAAGATGCATTGAAACCTTTATAAGTAATAATGGTGCTAATCATTAGATGATTTATTTTTCAAACCAAAAGTAAATCGAAAATGAAGATTTTGTGCTGTAGAGTAAACACGATGTATTTTGGATCTAGAAGAGCTGCAAACCACACTCGCTTTGCAACGCTTTTTTTCAATGTCGCTACTACCCCTACAAGTTCTACAATTCCCAAGCTCTTGGGCGACCACCAGAATGCCCATAAGTGACAGGCGTGCCGCCTGTCACTGCCTACCACCACTGCTCTCCCCATCCCTAACCTCACTGCTCCCAATTCTTTGACCTCTACTGGCTGTGTGTTGAACATATTCACTTCACCTCACCTCACTACCATCTTCTTCCTCCTTGTCCCCTTAAACTTTTCTATTGGTCCAAGATTGAAGATGCATCTCAAAATAAAAGATTCTAGTTAAAGTCTACATATGAACTCATTTAGTCACATGGATGCAAAGTCACCATCCACTTCATTAATTTGGCAGCAATAACTCTGCTAGTTCTTACTTCTTAAGGATCTAATAAAAAGAAAAATAATTTCAAAGACCTTGTTTGAAATGAGGTAAAAGTATGAGGACCGGGGTATTAATTTCCCTTTGTTTTTACCCAGTGACATATAAAGGGCTATCCAATGCCACGTTCAAGTCATTTTAGTTTGCATCAATTTATTCTAATATGAAGGCTCTGATAGGCTCTGATATATTAATGTATATAACTCGGAAACACTTATCCAGGGACAGATGTAGGTTTTGACTTCGAGATTGGGGGAATATGGGATGTTATGTTGGAGTATATTTATTGACATTGCAATGTGAGGATCCATGATTTACGTTAGCGACGGTTACAACAACAACAATATATCCCACTAGATGGGGTCAGCTACATGGATCACATGACGCTATTAAACTCTATCCAAAACCAGATCTTTGGATATATTATTAATTGAAAAATCTCGCTCAATAATTTCATTAAGTGTTATCTTCGGCCTTCCTCTACTCTTTTTTGCAGAACTCCATATTGTTTAATCAACTTTTCTCACTGGCACATCCCAGGACCTCCTTTGCACATGAAAAACCATCTCAATCGGTTTTCAACCATTTTCTCATCAATAGTAGTCACTCCAACTTTTTCTCATATATGTTTATTATGAACCTTGTCTTTTCTTATATGACCACACATCTATCTCGGCATTTTTACTTCGGCAACTGCCACTTTATGTTCATGTTGTCCCTTTAAAGCCTAACATTCACTGTCATATAGCATTGCTAGTTTTATAGCAGTGCGATAAAACTTTCTTTTGACCTTATTAGGTACTTTCCAATCACGGGTAACTCCTATCGCTTTTCTTTATTTAAACCACCCAGCTTGAATTCTATGACTAATATCTTCATCCGTTTCACCATCTTTTTGGATAACTGATCCTAAATATTTAAACTTTTTCACTTTATGTTAGGGACGGTTGAGGGTTTTAAAATTCAAAATTCTTTTAGACAGTAGAAATAAGTTAAAGCTATTACTCAAGCTTTTAGAAGTTACAACGTGAATTCAAGTATGTTATCGGCTTTAGATGAAAATTAGAGTGGATTTCATGTATTTATTACGTGGAGCCTATGATCGGCTCCATTGTTCTCACACTATTAACATTTATATTGATGTTCTTGTAATATTTAAAAAGACTGTGTTGTAATTTTATCAAGTGATACCACCTAACCAAACTCTATTGCCTATATCCATGGTTGGAATAAATATGACAGTCTTGCGTTAGTTGTTAAAGGTCTAGTATTATCTTTCCTTATTTGAGCTTGGAATGGATTATAAAATACAGGCAGAATTTGTCAAGTAATATTATTAATAATTTATTACTTATGGTTCTACATATAATGGCTAGATAATTAATTTATATAAGTTAAAAAATTAGTTAGGTTAACTATTTATAATAAAAATGTGCTGATTTTCCTAAAATATCTCATTTAATTATTTACATTAGAAATTTTTCTCATGGATGAAAATCCACTTATTATATGTAATCTATAGAATTGTTTGAGAACATAATTATAAATTTGTGAGACATAGTGAGTTGAGATTTTGTATTTAAAATCAAAATAAATTTATAAACTACTTTTATATTTATTTAGGATAGAAATGCATACCCATGAATGATATTTAACATACCTTTTGAGTATACACTATACAACTTCCTACTCTTAATATGTTTTTGGTTTTTCTAAAATATTTTCTTAAATAATTTAAATTGAAATTATTATTTGATTTAAACTCTCTCAACATATGTACTTAATAGGGTTAGTTTAGATAAGTAAAGAAAAAATATATTAAAATCTTATATTTAAAACTAAATTCATTCTTCTATTAGCTCTTATATTAAAAACTGAAGGTGGTATAAATTAGTTTGGGCCAAAGCAATCAAATGATCATGGGCCATAATTTGACATAATACAATAAAATTAAAAACACAGTGTTTGAAAGACTACTTACGTATACATAATTGAATTCACGTGTTATACTCGCATCAAGTAGATGAGCTCAAAGGATCTTAATTCATCTTCTAACAATTAGGAGCTCTAGATACTCCTCCAATCTTTAGTATAAGACATATTTAACTAATTAGATTAGATTAAAAAAGTTATGTAAATTAGTTAATTATAAGAGATATGACATGTTTTTTTTAAAATATTATAATCATATTTCTTAATATCCTTCCTCCCTCACATACTTGATTATGATTAAGGGAATATCCATAAAAGTAATTTAGGAAAAACTGATAAATATGAGAAATAAGTTTTATATTTAGGACTAAAATTAACATAACAATTAGGTCTTATATTAAAGACTGAGAAAGTACAAGTGCAAAAGAACACTTCCCTATTTAGTTGTTGATCACCCCAAATAATATGACTATACTTATATACCATTATAAATTTTTTTTTTTGGCCAAAAAATATACCATTGTAAATTACTTTTCTCTCTTTCTCTATATTTACAGATTATTCTCATTTCTCTCACTCTCTTTCCTTTTCCCTCTCTTTCCAGCAAAAATTAAAAAGAGATAAAATTAAAAACTGGTCATCAATAACCTTACCAAATAATTTATATCTAGGACCAAACTTTTATTCAATAACTGACTTGTAACAGGAATCTAAGCGGTACAAGTTATATATGTGTTCTTACTAAATTAAATAGCCTATTATTCTACGAGGTTAAATGCTACCAAAAAGTTTGTTACTTTTTTATGTAAATATTAAAAATTTTGGTGATTTAAAGTAGGGAGAATTATAATAAAATCTCAAAAAGAAAAAATAATTATCAGTAAGTTTTAATAACAAATGAATAATTGTTATTTACTACTTTCAAATTTGTCATTGCAGGCTGGTTTGTTGGTATTAGGATTTTTTAGTAATTCTATTTTTTGCTTGAGATTTTATGGTAATTATCCGTTTAAAGTAAAGTACATAATCAAGTTTCACCACATACCGCGCAGGAATATCCACTCGGATTTTGGAGTTCATCACTAAAGAGAACCTCTTCACAAGTCAGATCATTATCTCAAGCATCTTGGTTTATTCTTATTAAATTAGTCCTATCTCTGCATCCAACAATTTTTTTTTTTTTTTGCTGTAATGTATTTAACTTTCTAAGAGGCTTCGTGATAAAATTGATTGTCTTTAATTTGTTTGAATTTCTTCTGGGGATCTTCTGCTGCTGATAGAAATCAGATTCATCTTAAGGGACATAATTTTATTATTTTTACCTCCTTAAGATGGTAACCTTGCTATTCATCCCATCAAATGTGTCAATAATCACACTCTCTTATCCAAGAAAATTTGACGTATTTTACATGCTCTTTCTCATTTTTGTACTCTATGTTGCGGATAAAAGAATTGGATATTTCCTCTCTCTCTCTGGTCAAGAAGCTTTATAATTTGTCATGGCTTTAAAAGAGCATCTTTGAATGTGCTAATAGAGATGTTCAACTTGTCTTATCTTGATCACGGTCAATTCAGGATGGAACAGGATAAAAAGTTTTTTGGCATGGAATAATGATGAGACGAGACAAAACAGTGACTAGAACATGACGGCGTGGAGGATAGGATTGTCCTGTCCCAAGATATTTACTCATTTATTTTTAAAATTTTCTTATTAAATTAATATTAGTGTTTTTTTTCAGTATTTTTTTGCTATCAAATTCATGATTTCTTTGCTTATAATTTGGGCTTTTTACATAAGAGTTTTTTAAAAATGTTTTTATCCTTCAAAAGCTCAATGAGACTAAACAATACAACATAAAGAGGGAAAGAATCCAAAATTCTAGCCCAAAATTGAAGTGGTTTAAATAAAAAGAACTAGACGAGACACGGCACAAAAACATTGTCCAGTCCTGTAAATATCCTTGTGTGCTACTATCATTATAGATAAATTTAGGCTTTGTTTGGATTAACAGTGACGAAAGTAATTTTTACTTTATCTAACTTTTACAAATGTGAGTCAGGACAAAAGTCAATTACTGTAATATAATTTATATTTGTCTTGATATTTATAATTATAAAAATAAAAATAGTTATTATTGAGAATAATTAAAATAAAACAATATATTTACATTTCAGAAAAAATTGGGAAATAGTCCTCCTATTGAAAATATAATTGGAGAGAAGAATCTTAATTAAAATAAAAGTACTCCATATATATATATATATAATTTGCACTTATTACATAAAAATTTATCAATTGCTTCTTACTAGTTAAAATTTTAATAGAAAATTTTTCTCAGTTTTCCCTAAATTTTATAAATATGATAATAAATAATAAATAATCATAAATTTATTTTTTAAATGATTTCGTTATTAAAAAAATGATTTCATTACTATTGGAAACGGACTGAAGGGGTTGGGGAAAAAAAGAACTCAAGGGATCAGTAAAAACATTCTCTTTCCAACAAAAAAAGTAAAAGCATTCTGACTCATCTCATGTGGACTTCAGTTCTCAATGTGATGAAGAAGGCAAAAGCGGCAAAATGGAGCTTTGAAAAAAAAAAAAAAACTACTCTTACCGTATAAGCCCATTTAATACCAACACCAATCCAAACATGTTTTTTAACCTAGAGTTACTTTTTTCAACTTTTAGTATTGGAGAAATCAGTTTGAGAGTCATCACGGTAATCCCAAACACACCCTTAAATGGCAGAATGATAATGATGCTAATATTCCAGTTATCGACCCTAAAATATGGCCCTCTTGCCTTGACAGACTCATATCAGCTAGTTCTGTTAGGATGGTTGATGATCTTATAGTGCATCAACCGCACCATTTCATCTCTCACCAATGGACTAGAGAGCTCATCTAAGCAATTTATAGGTCTTCCATTACTAGAGATATTGTCAAGTCCCATATTTCCACTAGGAATGGGCAAGACCATCTTATCTGGACTAGCAATTCTCAAGGCTCTTATTGTGTCAAAGATGGTGTTTCTATCATTCTTGGAAGTTACATTCCTAATATTCCTCAGATTTCGCAACCTCACAGGCTACGAAACTTTGTATGAAAACTTAGTGCGTCTCACATATTTTTGCTCTTCATTTGGAAACTTTGTCATCTGGCAATTTCGGTTATTGATCTGAATGCGTCTTAACTTCGTACATTTGGTTGTTTTGTAGAGGAAACTTTTGAGCATGTTTTCTGTTTGTGCAGCCACAGTAAACCGGTTTTGGTTGCCTTTTAAAGGATGCTTTGATGAATGTAAAAGCACTTTTAGACAAAAAAATTTACGTAAATTAAGGCAAAATTTCTCTTACATACTTATTTCGTATACCATAAAATCACTTTTAAAATTATGATTTAGTTTCCACTCAGGGTATATATGAATCAAACTAGACCACGCTTGCTATCAACCCGGAATCTGATCCAGTAAAAACATTGGGCTGAAAAAAGACAGCCCGAGATTTGATCTAGTCTAGTACCATCCTAAGGTTAGGTTGGATTGGACTTGGTCCATTGGATTGCCTAGGACCTCAATTTGATTTTTTTTTTTTAATTTTTTTTAGTGGGAGGCAAGATTGCAACTTACTATATAAAATTTTGCACTTGTTTTGATCAAAACTTCATCAAATTTGATCACTCTCTTCCAATTTCTCAATAATTTCATGTTTCATTTATTAATCCTTATCAACAGATATCATATATTGAAGAAAATATATACACATGCTTACTTAGGAAGTTAACAGATAGATCTTTATTATTTGAATTGACAAAAAGCTTATAGAGAAGAATTAAAACAAATTAAAATTATATAAATAATATTTAAAAATTAAAAAAAATAAAACTTGGGTCAGACTGGATTGGACCAACTTGTTTAAGGGATTAGTTCTTAGTCCAGTCTAGTCCAGCCTGATGAGAGCGTCTTACTTTAGGCCAATTTTTTCTGAACCAAACTGGACTAGGTTTGCTCGAGTTGAACTAGGTCATACTGGACTACCGAGATTTTGCACAACCCTAGTTTCCATCCAAACACTCTTTCGATCAAGTGATTGACTAAGTGCGTAATGTGTGTGATTCATAAATGGTTACTAAATACTTTCCGCTTTGCTCTCTTTACAACTAAGGTGAAATTGTTCTAATTCTAAGAATAATGGTCAGTATCAATCTTATTCGTAGGTAGTGCAATATTGTTTGTTTGTTTTTTTGGCCTGACAATATTGTTGTTTTTCAGGGCACTGCCCCTCATCCATCCCAACTTATTAAACAGTTTCGTTAATATGTGAATATTCTAGAACCTTCTACATAGTTTACTTAGGAACATGCCACATTCGAATTGGAACCCATAGCGCGAGAAGTTTATACATAAAAGAGTTAAATATTGCCGAGTTATTTTCCAATGAGGTGCTTGCATGATTCATGAAATCACTCTAGAGAATCCTCAATCTCCATCTTATAAGAACATTTCTTTTGGCATGTCTTAGATATGCGCTTTCATGGACTATAGCTTACTCTTCTTTCTATGATCATTAACGTCCTTCGTCGGCAATCTTTTACTTCATAGTATAATTACTTTTATACTAAATAAATAGGGTTAATATAATTTTTGGTCCTTCAAGTTTGTTCTCATTTTGGTTTTAGTCCTTTAACTTTTAAATTATAAGTTTTGGTCCCTCAAAGGGCAAAATAGTCCAAGTATTTATTGAATGATAAGGACCAATATTTTAAATGGAAAAAATCTTAAGGGATCAAAACCTATAACTTAAAACTTAAAGAAATAAAACCAAAATAAGGATAAACTTAGAGGATCAAAATTTATATTAACCCCAAAAAAATACCCTTGTGTATGTATGTTATCACTGACCTGCCTGAAACGACGCCGTGTTTGAGGAGCGGACAAATGGCTCTGATTTTTCCCAAGCGAAATGGATGGCTAGATGACCTTCAGAAACTAAAACGACACCGCATTAAGCGATGGTCATGGAGAGAGGCGAAAGCAATTGACGGCCCATTAACATCGTTTATGGCAGTGCCATATTTATTGGCACCCTACTTCTTGTTGGTGGAACTAAAATGCAACGCACATCTGACTATCTGAGGTAATGGTCATTTGAATAGAGGGTCCCTAGTGTGAATTTGCCGTAAAAAATGTGTGCTTAGCTCCACCAGTTTCTTCAGATCGACAAAATATTATCAGTACAAGGACCATTATGTGGATCTTTAGTATCGTATGATGTGCACACCATGGCCACAGAGGAAGAGATTTACGCAAATCTCTTGCGGGGATATGCAAAAAGTCTAAAGTTACTTAGTGGAAGATCTGTTCACGCCAAATTCATTAAGGGGTCTCTTCCTTTATCGCTCTTTCTTCAAAATCATTTGCTAAACATGTATGTTAAAAGTGGAGATGTTCTTGGAGGCCTCAAGGTGTTTGAAGAAATGCCACAGAAGAATGTGGTGTCCTGGTCTGCTGTCATTGCAGGCTTTATCCAAAATGGGTATGTTGGGGGAGCTCTTTCCTTGTTTGCCCGCATGCACAGTGAGGGAGCGACAAAACCAAATGAGTTCACATTGGTTAGTGCTCTTCAAGCATGCTCATTAGCTGAGAGTGTGGCTCAAGCTCATCAAATTTATGCATTAATTGTGAAATTAGGATTTGAGTCAAATATCTTTTTAATGAATGCATTCTTGACATCCTTGGTAAGGCATGGAAAGTTGACAGAAGCTTTGGAAGTTTTTCAGAGCTGTCCAGAGAAGGATATCGTGTCATGGAACACCATGTTGGGTGGTTACTTGCAGTTTTCTTTCAAGGACATTCCTGGATTTTGGTATCACATGAATCACAAGGGTATTAAACCTGATAATTTCACATTTACAACCATCCTCACTGGGCTGGCTGCCCTGTCTTATCTTCAATTGGGCACCCAAGTTCATGGACAGCTTATCAAGAGTGGCTATGGAGATGAAATCTGTGTAGGGAATTCTCTGGTGGATATGTATTTAAAAAATCAGAAGCTAGCTGAAGGTTTTAAAGCATTCGATGAAATGCCTCAGAGAGATGTGTGTTCTTGGTCCCAGCTGGCTGCTGGTTGTTTACAGTGTGGAGAGCCAAGATGGGCACTTGCAGTCATTACACAAATGAGGAAAGTAGGTGTGAAGCCAAATAGATTTACACTGGCAACTGCTTTAAATGCCTGTGCGAATATGGCATCACTAGAAGTAGGAAAACAAATTCATGGCTTGAGGATAAAGCTTGGAGATGAGATTGATGTCTGTGTTGATAATGCACTTCTTGATATGTATGCAAAATGTGGTTGCATGGATAACGTAAGGTGGGCATTTCAAACGATGAAAGATCGTACTGTCATCTCATGGACAACAATGATAATGGCATGTGCACAAAATGGGCAAGCTGAAGAAGCTCTCAAAATGTTTGATGAAATGAGGAAGAGGGGTGTTGTGCCAAATTATATCACCTTCATTTGTGTTCTTTATGCATGTTGTCAGGGTAGATTTATTGATGAGGGATGGAAGTATTTCTCCTCTATGACCAAAGACCACGGAATCTCCCCTGGAGAAGATCACTATGTTTGTATGGTGAATCTCCTAGGCCGAGCTGGACTTATTAAAGAAGCTGTGGACCTAATTCTAACAATGCCATTTGAACCTGGCGCCTCAGTGTGGCAAACATTGCTCAGTGCGTGTGAGACTCATGGAGAAGCAGAAATTGGAAAACTAGCTGCAAGACGAGCCATAGAACAAGATAAAAAGGACCCATCAACATATGTCGTATTATCTAACATGTTTGCTGGATTGAATAATTGGGATGGTGTGTGGAATCTAAGAGAGTTGATGGAGTTAAGGGATGTAAAGAAGAAGCCAGGATCCAGTTGGGTTGAAATTGGAAAGACTTAGATGTCATGTGAATGAGAAATGGATTCAGAAGATTCCTCATCAACCTTTTCTCTGTATCTTCGGTATGTTTTTGTATTTAACTGTGCTACTTAAGTATAATAGTTTTGTGCTTGATTTTGTCTATTCTTCCAATATAGTCCATCTGGCAGTGCTTCTTAGGGCCAGTTGATCTTTTTCATCATTTTGATTCAGGACGCAGTGTCCTCATTTTTCTGGCACCTAATCAGGATGATGCGTGGAATCTAAGAGAGCTGATGAAGTCAAGGGGTGCAAAGAAGAAAGGGAGAATTTCAGTAAAGTCCCATAGAAGCAACATAATTTTTAGTAGGTTCCAAAAGATTCTGAAATTTCAGTAAGGTATTTAAGGATAAAAGTGAAATTATATTTTGATGTTAAACGACCAAAACGCTCTTCCTTTGTTTATTTATTTTTTTTAAAAAAAAGTCAACCACCACTGGACATTCAGCCACTGGAACACCGCCCTTTTGGGAGGGCGTTACAGTCATTTAACACGAAAATATACTTTCATTTTTATGCATAAATACTTTGCTGAATTTCAGAATCTTTTGGGACCTATTGGAAATTATGTTGTTTTTGGGGGACTTCACTAACATTCTCCAAAGAATAGACCAGGATCTAGTTAGATTGAAATTGGAAAGATTTAGGTGTCAGAAAAATGTTGTGTGAATGAGAAATGGACCCAAGCATGTTCCCTTGAATAAGGCGCCTGCATGGCGTGTATATTATCCCATTCAGGTACCGCTTGAAGACTGAAACTAGCAAGACATCCGAAATAGCATGTGCCTCGCAGGAGAGCTACTATCTAATGTTGCAGAGACTTGCATGAAGATGTGCAATTGTGCATATCGACAAGTGAGTCTTTCATTTGTAATTAAGCTTTTGAAATTTACAAAACTTCCATAATATGTAAATGATTTGTATCTTCTAGTATTTACAATTGAGCTTCTAAGATTCAGAAATCTTCAATTTGCAGCTGAGGCAGATTATTCCTCTCTCCTCCAAAAAACCTCACTTTAAAATTCATCAAGATTTTCACGACCATGCTGCAGTGAAGATCTTCGATTTCGCAACAAACATGATTAGTAATACACAAAAGGACAGGAAGTATCTGCACATGAGAGTGGATCTTCATGTTGCTCATTAGGGCACGGCTCCATTAGTGATTATTACGATCAAGTTGTGCAGGAATCTTTGGAGAAGCAAAGTCACGTGTTGGTTCCGGTAAGTAAATCATCCATCAAACGGGCAGAAAGTGAAACTTGAAGAGAATCAAAGGTTGAGAAATTGTCCAATTTGCTTAGAAGGTTTTGAAGATACTATTCCGGTCCTAAATATAAGGCCCTTTTTGTAATGTAATTTATAAAACCTTTTTTATAATGTAAATTATACTACAAAAAGGGTCTTATATTTAGAACCAGAGGAGTAATATAGATGCTACTCGTGTTGCTTGTTCTCACTTGTTTCATGGGCTTTGTATCGTTAATTGGTTGCAGCAGAATCATGCTTGCTCTCTATGTCGTTTTCAGTTGCCTACATAAGTGACAATTATTAATGGCAAATATTAAATATTTTCTTGTCTTCTCTAACTCTGAATCCTAACTCTATGACATCATTCTTTGCATTGTGTCCCCACTGTTCTCTTCTTTTAATTCCTTGCCGCTTTGTAAGGTGATTGCCATGGCTTGCTATCACGGATTAACTTTAGTATTGCTTCGAAACTCACTATAAAATTTTCCAGTAAGTTAGCCCAATTGCTTATCTAGGCTTCCCTATTTTTCATAGAATTTCCCATCCACAATTCCATGTTCTTCATAGAAACTTGAGTAGAACTAATTGCTTCTTTAAATTGTTCTATCTTTTGATTCACGCTCTTATGCTTTTGACTTGGTAAGTTGCCATTTTAGCCAAGGCTTTCTCCAATTTTGTTGTGCAATATTCAGTTACTGAGTTTGGTAGTGCTTGCGGCGCTTTTTTTTTTCTTTTTTTTGGATATTTGTTTTCACCCCGTAATGTATAAAACTGTCAATAAGAGCCGACCTAACTTTAAAGTCCCGTTTGGTATGAAACATTGAATATGAGGGATTGGAATTGCAATTGCAATTGAAAAAAAATCATTAAAATAGTATTTAATATGAGTAATTACTTATTATATGGCATTAGACAAACCCATAAAAGTGGGATTGGGGAATATCACTTCCCACCATGGTATTTTTCAATCCCACATACATGAGTTTCGCTAATCTCATATAACAAGCAATCTCTTATATTAAACATTCTTTTAATAAATTTTCTCAATTGCAATATTAATCTTAATCCCTTATTTTCAATGCTTCTTACCAAACGTAACCTAAAAAGCTAGCTCTTGAAGGGTTAGGATCTTAAAAGGCTGGCCCTTCAAACCCAATTCTTGAACATGTGGGCTCAAAAGCCTTAAAAAGCTGACCTTTTATGTTATTTTTTAAAATTTAAATTCTTTTCAATTATTTTGAAATAAAAAAAATAAAACAATAAAGTTGCTAAAAAATTTTATTCAAATTATAATCTTAGTAAAATAAACTAATAATATATAGAGAAAAACATCAAATACTAATAAATTATTATCAAAACTAACAAAACCAAATAAAACAGGAAAAGTAGCAAGATAAAAACTAAACAACTAAAGATTTGCAACATCAGCATGATTATTATCTTCATCTTCATCACCATCGTTAAGATTAACAATATTTGATTGTTTTTCGCTAAAGGTAGACTCTTTTCTAGTGATAAAAATATCAAGATTTTTGTTTTTATCACCTTTATCTAAAGTAAAACTATATAGTAGTTACCAGTACAAATAAGAGCCTAAATATTTGTTAGAATAAGAGAATTTCTATACTTTGTTAAGACATGTAAACCAATGATAAAGAAAAATTCACTAGCTACTATAGTGATTCAAATGCTAAGAATATCATTTGCCATGCTTAAAAGAATTAGAAATTGATTTTAGTTATCCTTCCACTAGTTCAAGACATCTATTTTTTTTAATTATGGATTAAGTATTGGTTCTTCTAAATAATTTTCTAATTCAGACTTATCCATAAAATACTAATCTATAATTACGTAAATATCTTGATAATAAAATATAAAAAAAAAAGGCAAGCTTGAAAAAAATGGCCCTTCGCGTAACGGGCTGATTTTTTTATTTATGAGCCCTAAAAAGCTGATCCTTTTAAATCTTTTGTTTTTTTTTTTTTAACTTCCTAAAATACAAACCTAACTTTTCACTTAAAAGGAGACTCAGCCCGTCTTGGCCGTTCTAGTATTGTACGTATTTGCATATGGGTCATTATTGGATGGCTCTGTTAGTTCCTACTCCAACGGAATTGAGCCTCCTCCATATAGTCACACGTATAACTCATATGAGGAGAATTGTAGTGGCAAAAGCAGAAAAGAAATTTACATGATTAAAATTTTGAAATAACAAATTTAAACTGCTTGTTAAATCCAAAAGTTCATGATGAGAAACTACCGAGGTAGTGATTTCATTAAATGTGGCTCTTCGTCCTCAAATTACTTCCTACGATGAATTTGTTGCTAACATCTCATAAATCCCCTTCTATTTTACGAAGGTCATGTTACTTGAACCATCTTGAGCTGCGTTATCGAATTTAGAATGGTATTTGGAACCAAACTCATCATAGAAAAATCCATCACAAGTATATATGGAAATTGATGATGAGAATATTGACTTATTAGGATATTGAAACACCCACATGCTTCATGGAACAATTCACCATTTTATTGGGTGAAAAAGGGGATTTTGTCCCTTAATTTTGAAGTTTTATGAAGTGAGTAATATTGAAATATAAAGTGCTTATACATCTCAATTCAAGATATTATAGAAGCATCTAGCAAGTGACCATGTCCTTGAACTAAGTCCTGCTGTATGCAATTATGAACTCAAAAATATTTACTTAAATGTGCTACCGACATTCAATAGGCATCAAATTGAAAATGTTTTGAAATCCGTATTGGAATTTTGCAAAGTTATTGATACAATGCCATTGGATGGTCTATTAAACGATGAATTGAAGTTGTATTTCTTCCCATATTGCCGGAAGGAAAAAGCTCATCAATGTCTTCTACACTCTGCCAAAAGTTTGTATAAGGTCTTATTTCCCTTAAAAGAGTTCAATATTAAGTGACAAGATCTACTTCACCAAACAAAACGGTGAATTGTTTCATGAAGCATGAAAGCATTATCATTTCTTAGCAAGCCAATGTCCCTATCACCAATTTTCACATATACTTTTAATGGACTTTTCCTAATAGGTTCGGTTCTGACTACCCATCCAAAGTAAATAATACTCCTCCAGTTCTAAATATAAGACCAATTTTGTAATGTAATTTACACTACAAACTAGATTTTATATTTAGGACCAGAGAAGTATAGCTCAAGGTGATTCAAGTAATATGATCATTTTTGAGAGGAAAGGGATTTGTAAGATGTGAACAATAAACTCAAGGAAGAAAAAACAATCCAAGCACGAAGAGCCGCATCCAATAAAGTCACCACCTCAACTATTTCTCAAAAACTTTGGAATTTAACAAGGAGTTTAAATTTATTGTTGCAAAATTTTAACTCCATTGATGTCCTTTTTTTTCTCCAGCCACTAATAATTACTCACGTGCAAGTGTATTAGTAACTATTTGAATGAGTCTAATTATATGGGAGTTGGAACTGACATACAATCTAAGGGATGACCCATACTCTAACACCTACAACCAAGGTGGAAAAATAATTCATACTTCTCCTGGAGAAATTCTGCTCTTCAAGGGCTATAAGCACTATCCAACAACAAAAGAATTTCATTGATCATCGCACAACAAAATTTGAAAAGAGGAAAAAAAAAAAACACTTTGGCTAAAATGACAACTTACCAATTAAAATAGTATGAAAAGTATGAATTACTCAATTAAGGGATAGGCTAACTTAAACAAGTTGCTTCTATGAAGAAGAAACAAAAGAAAAGCATTCTCTGGAAAATTTAATTAAATAGATGTTTCAAAAATAAAATGAATGGTGCTAGGAAAATGACAATACATAATCTAAGAGACAAGAAAAATAAATAGAATAAATAATTAAAATACATTTGTAGATTTAAGGGGTTTATATTATAATATAGAAGTACTTAAAAAAATACATGAATTCAATAAATTTATTCAGCTCAATTAAATCGGTTCAAAGTTTCAAAGATTATAACATAATATCAAAATTTTAAATTATACACTTGCACATTTTAAGTTGAGGAGTGGCAGGTCTCACTCCAGAATCATCCAGACCCTATCTCTGATTCCCCCCCCCCCCCCGGGGCATGGCATCCAGATCCTATCTTGAAGCCGATGAAATTCTCCAAATTTGGCCCCAAAAAAAAAAAAAGAAATTCTCTAAAGAATATAACTTAGAATGAAATCATCTCCTTCAGCAAACTGAATCTCCCCTGCCAAAGGCAAGCCAGGCTCCGCTCCCAAGCTTGGGACCCACAAAATTTTCCTTTTTGGAAGTAGCCTATGATTGACCTACAGAGCGAAAAATTCTTGTTCTCTTCTGCTCCTAGTCTCTCCTATCTCTGTGCCCTTAATGTCAAAGGATTAGGTCTGAAGTGTTTAAACTCAACTTACAATAGAAGGGCCTGTCGTTGAGATTCTACATTGAGTTCCATTTCATCAGATAGACTGGCAATATCAGGAATGATCCCTCCATTACATTGCCTATAAATCCCATCCCCAATCAGATCATCTAATATAGCAGCTGGTTCTCTGGCTCCACCATGCTGTAAGAATTTTGTTCTTAAAACAGTTCCAACATTTGATGATAACGGATCGTCCTCGCACAACTTCTTCCATATGGTAGCAGCAAAACATCTGGCATACAAGTAACTATAATATCCTGCATGAGAAAAGGAAACATGATTGGCAATTTATTTCAGAGAACTAAAAATCAAGCATAATTAATTGAAGGACTCTTCATTTGGGCCTCATTGGAAAGCCTTATAAGAGGATGTATCATCTTGAAATGATTCACATTTTTGCTTCGAATTAAGAGCACTGTCCAAGGCTGAAAAGATCACCAACAAGAATATCGATACAAGAGATTCATGATTAAAGACCTGAGGTGAAAATGCATAGGTGACAATCAAATAAGATTTGAAACTTCCACGAACATTCAATTGCATCAAAACTTCAGATTCAGAATAACTTATTCCAGAAGATTGGGGAATGGAGACTTTTTTGCCCCAAAAAAAAAAAAGAAAGAAAAAAGCAAAGTTTGTACAACCTTTGACATTGAAGCATGAAATAAGAAAATTAAGCAGGAGGTAAAATCTGGTCCTTGTTTTTAAATATGACACAGGCAAAAAGTCGTTCCCTTGAAAATAGAAAAAATTTGCGGATGAAAATTAACACATTAATTTGCTGATATGCTGGGATGTTTAACATCATGACTTAAGGCTTGTCATGATCCAAGGGACCAACGGAATATCTAACCTGCTCCATAATTGAGAAGGTGACTGAATCGGGCCTCCCAATGTGTGCCTTCCACATGTTCCCAACTTGTATATTCTCTTTTTAATTCAGCAACAACAGAGCTAGTATCTCTCAGAGGGAATGACTGCTCTCCATGAAGGTTCTGATCAACTAGGGCGTAAAAGATCTGACAGGAAATTTCAACAAATTACATGGGGTTAATGTTTTTCTTTTCCTTCTCATAGTCATATTATGATATATTAAGGTCATCACAAGGGCATAAAAGAGAAGAAAAAACATGAAGAAAAGGACACCTGACGCTGCAAATCAGTAGCAGCAAACATTTTTCTAGCACCCTGCATCAACTCTACGAGCTTCTGAGGGATTTCTTCACCAGTCGAATAATGTCTAGCAAATTTTCTCAAGACTCGATAATCCCATGCATAGTATCTATGACAAAAACAATATCAGGTCATATACAATCCAGTTTATTAGTACCATCCAAAGCATTAATCTACTAAATAATGTATCAATGTATTGGAAAGATTAATGTGTATTTGAGAGAATTAGATGCCCAAAGAAATCAAACATTTCACTAGTACGCAAAAAATAAGTTGTCCCTTGGAGCATCAATAAGGCAATTAGAGATGCTACACAAATTATTTGGCAGCCATCTAAGAGCAGTGTTGCTAGATTAAATGCTCATAAAAGTGGCCCTATCATCGGCTCTAAGCGGCTAAGCCCCAGTGTTCACAACAGTAATACTTGGGTAGTTGACTCTAGGGCCATTCACCACAAGAAGAGTAAAGCCTACAACCTTGAAAACTTCGTTCCATGTAATGATGACATTTCTATGACTCTTGCTAATAGAAACACCTTCTAACGTTAGGGATTACGGTAGTTGAAGAATTCTAATTACATCCCATGAGAAAATACCCAAGATATAAATGAAGCACTGAGTTCAGCTAACCATGGGTAGTTGTCCCAAAAGAATTTAATGCCTTGGAGAAAAGCAAAACCTGAGAAATCATATGTTTGCTAAGGGAAGAAAGTTGTGGGCTGCAGGTGGATTTTCACCATCAAATACAATTCAATTGGAGTGAAACTGCCATCAAGCCATGTTGGTAGCTTCAAACGTATGTGGTTGATTAGCAAAAGACTTTTGCCCTGGTTGATAGGTTCAACAACAAAAAAATCCTCTTGTCAGGCTGCAAATAATGACAGGTCGTTGCACCCATTTGGTGTTAAAAAAAACGCCTTTCTTAATGGCAATCTAGAGGAGGAAGTGCATGTGGAGATTTCCCAAGACATTGAAGTCGACATAGGTGCTGATGAGGGAGGTTCCGCAATAGACATGAGATCTATCACAGTTATTGCACTTGTGCCAAGGGCAATTTGGTGACTTGAAGGAGGTAGTAGTGGCTAGAAGTAGGGCTAGGGCAAAATATAAAGCATCATCCCAAGACCTATGAGGGAATTGGATCAAACGCCTCCTCTGGGAGCTATAAATCCCAATGAAGGAACCTATGACAGTTCTTCCTGACAAAATGGCCAACATTAACATTGTGAAGAAAACAGCTTATGATACAATGAAGCATGTGGGACTATAGAGGAACTTCATCAATGAGAATGTAGAGTTTCAAGTCATAAGTTTGTCATATACTCCTATTAACCAACATGTAGCCAGCCTACTAACAAAAGCTCTATCAGGAATGCAAGTTTGAAAACTTCACGAGCAACGCAGGAATGGTAACATTCATTCTCCAACTTGAGGAGTGTCGGATGTCATAGGATAAATACCAAGGATCACAAGACTTTGGTGTTTATTTCAATGTATCTTGGTATTCTGTCATATAAGGATGTTTTGCAATTATATTAGTAGTTTTATTTTTGAATATTTGCTGCTAACTTCATGAGATTTGGTGGGGATAAACAGTGGTATGTATTCGTGCTCTTCAAATCTCATGAAGTTGGCAGCAAATATTCAAAAATAAAACTACTAACAGAAAAAAAAGAAGTTTAATAAGAAATAAGGATCAGATTAGTGCTTATGCTCTAATTATTTTCTCCACTGTTTTCTCGTCATCTCTCCTATAAAATCAACAGAAAGCATTATTTTAGCGACTGAAATTTCTAAGCATTATTTTCTCATTCTTCTCACCTTCTATCTTATTCCTACAGTCAAATTATGTCACTTTTGGAAGAGAGAACGAAATTGGCCTAATGCACTCCTTTAAAGCAAGTAATAACAAAAATAATCTAAGTGATGATAAGGTTCTACTCACTCAAAAAGATTTGATGGTAGTTCTGCAAAATCTAGAACCACTCTGGTGCCTGAAAAGTGTTGGTAGTCCTGCAAAGACAAAAGGATGATGGTATCTTAATTAACAAAAGAAAAGGCAATAATTGGGTTTTTTCACTTCCCAAGTAATGATCAATTAAAAATGCTTGTTAAAATGCTTCAGTGCATCAAACTAGTAGTGCAGTATAAACAAAATTCCAATTCCAACCCTTACACAAGATCAACAAAGTTTTCTTAGATTTCCCCAATAACATGCAATGCACAAAGTCATGCCTTTGAAACATGTGATGAGAAACATTAATGACAGATTAAAAAAAAAAAAAAAGTAGGCAATAAATGTTGCTGATTTTTTTATAATATTTAAAAATAGCTAATCATCAAAATTGATGCACCTCATGAGACAAGAAACATTAAAATCATCACATGAAACTGCCAGACCAAGAAAATCCCCTTTGCAATGCAGCAGCAACAACAAACCTAGTATCCTACTAGGTGGGATCAGTTACATGAATTGCACAACACCATTATGCTCTATCAACAACTAAGACTTTAGATGGGTTGTTAACCAGAAGGTCTCGTTCAATGGCCTCAATCCATTCTCCTTGGTTTTCCTCTGCCCTTTTTTAAAGGATTCCAAATTCTCTAATTTACCCTTCTCGTCCACACCTCCAATGGCCTTCTCTGCACATGCCCAAACTACTTCAAACGATGTTCAACTATTTTCTCTTCAGTAGACTCCACACCTACTCTTGCTCTAATATTTTCAGTTCGAATCTTACCCTTTCTTGTATGACCAAACATCTATCTCAACATCTTTATTTTTGCTACCCCAACTTTATGCTCTTATTTTTCCTTTAGGGCCCAACATTCACTACCATATAACACAGCTAGTCTTAGAGCAGTCCAACAGAATTTTCCCATAAGCTTCTCAGGTACCTTCTGATCACAAATAACTCTAGTAGCCTTCCTCCACTTTAACCACCCAGCTTGTATTTTATGAAAAATGTCTCTATCAATTTCACCATCCTTGTGTATACTGAATCCTACATATTTAAACTTTGACAATTAGAGGAATAATTTGATCTCCCATCTTAACCTCTAAATCACCATTGACTTACCTCCTTTTTTGCAATGCAACGATGTCCATAAATTGTATAGTTAATGTAACATTATTAAGATATAACTTTCAGAGTAATCAATCATAAATCAAATGATGTAGGCACTTAATCAAAGAATTATTTACTTATCCTGAACACAACTGTAATGAATTTATTAAAAGCTTGTACATCAATTTGGTCTTAAAACATGGAAGGGCTTCTGTTTATGGAGTACTTCCAAACAACTAAAGAGACATCAGAAAGCAAAATGTGGTTTACTATGGCTAGATATTATCGTTATATCTTGACAAATGCTCAAAATAAACAGCTTTGGCATCACTTTATACAGATGTGTCATTATGTCCATATGAGAATAGCAAGGTGAAATAAAGTATTTACTCTATAAAAGCAGCAATTTCCCACATAGAAAAAGTTCAAACAAAAAATACCGTTCTTGAAAGCAATGAGTGAAGAGCATGTCCAAACTCGTGAAAAAGAGTTTCTACTTCCCAGTGATTAAGCCTTACAGTTGATGGATTACTTGACCCTGGAAAATTACAAACAAGAGCTACAACCTGCAAAATTATAGAATCAAAAAGCATGCTTGAAAAAGCTTTACATTGAAAGCATAAATTAACAGCATATAAGAGACTAGGAGAGAAACCACAGATTTAGCTCAATGCCTCAATCTAGATAAAGAATTGTACACATACTGGAAGTTGGTACTCTGTTTCAGATATCCTGCGACCTCCCTTTATTGCAAAATGAGCAAAACCAGGATACTTTCCCTTCCTTGAGTACAGATCAAGGTATAGATATCCCAAGTCGCCCTGAAAAAAGAGTATTTGCACATTCACAGTGACCAATGCAAATTCAAGGTAAATATATGAAAATCTAGCAGTGACAATGTAAATGGCATTGCATATGTTAGTTCTTATGCAACATATGAATTCAAAGATTTTCTTAGTTAGGCAACAATCAAAAAAACCAAAGGGAAAATATGTAAAGGCATATAATTGAGTATTCTTAATTCAAACCTTAATTGATGGCTTAGTCTGATTTACAAATAATTATGCATATCATTCCTAATACACTTTTCCCATTCGTCATCACTTTCCTCCATTTTCTTCCTAAATTGACGAAGGAAAATAAATGATGCATCTAGAAGTACCCAGAAGTAAAAACAAAAAAAGAATATATTACCACAATTTATTAAACATGAATCAATAGATAGACTATACTCATTTCTCGTGAATATAAGTCGACAACAAATTAAATCTCTAGAAACAATATAGTTGCTAACTTAAAAATTTTAGTCATGATTCTAATGAGTTATTTTCAAATGTTTTCCAGGCCAGAACGATTTCTAATCTTTGCTCAGATACCTCTTCAGGATGATGAAGAGCCAGTTTGAGCACTTGTGGATCCCATGATTCACCTGGTGCTAGAGGGATGCTATGAAAGGTTGCACCAAACAATGACTGCACCAGCACTTTCAAACCCTCTATACATTGTGACAAAGGAAAATACGATGCCACAACCTGCATATGGTCGTTGCATTAAACAAAACCTTAATCTGAACCTAGGCATACAAAATGTAAATTGTAAGCTGAATATAGGAAATTTACCGAAGAGTCCAACTTATAAACCGAGGACTTCATCATTGATGTGTAGTATGACTCGTCCCAAGGCTTTAAATCAAAGCTTTTACCAAATCTTTGTTTCTTGAAATTCCCAACTGACTTTAACTCCTAACATTGTTTAAGAAACTTAAAGTTATAAGTACAAGCCACAATGAACATAACACCTTGCCATAGAAACCATGTACAGGAAGAAGCTTGCACCTCATCAGCCTTTGTCCGGACCACCCTGCTCATCTCAGATAAAAATGGCATTACAACTGTTGGAGATGAGGCCATGTTAGGCTTCAACGCAAATTCAGCGTAAGATCGACATTCCATTAGCTGGATCAAGTAATTAGATAATAAAATCAGTGAGCTACGTTATTGATGTAAGAAGAAACAAGAAATTTTGCCAAAATCTACTAATAAAACAATGACATTCAGGGAGTGTTTGAATGGAAATCAAACTATATGAAGTAAACATGTGGAGCAGTTTGCCTCATTTTGTAGAAAAGTGCTTTTCAAAAGCACTTCTTCATGTTACCAAACACCCCCTCCATGTAGATTATTTTTAAATGGAGAATTTTCACCTACGAGACATCTAAATAACTAATAGGAAAACACAATAAGTAATCAGTGTTCACACAGCTATTGGTATCAAAATGTACAGAGACTAAATATTAAATGAACTAAACAGTATAAGTGCAGCACAAATGACTTTTTAGAAAGGTTCAGAGATTCAGAAGTGTTTATGGAGACAAACCTGAGCTAGCTCATGTCGAGCAGATATAAGCCTCTTGAGAACATCAATATTTGCATATGGAACAGAATTACCTTGAATATATACCATTTTCCTAACCTGAAAATAGACATGGAGGGAAACACATAAAATTAGATTAGATAATTACTAAAAGGAAGATGACATCGAACATCATCTGAGATGACCAGCAAAAAAGTACCCATAGTATAGAATACTCAGTTGCTTCAAAGATTAGCCATGACCACCAATGCTTCTCAAGCTTATCTAAACTAGCTAGACAGTCCTTATTAAACTTATTTCTACTCAAATAACAAAAAATAGAGAAATCATAAATTTCCAGATCATTATTAGATCTAAGCTACCTCATCATCTGATGACAATTGCAAAATAGAAGCAAGAGTATGTGGGTCTGTTGTTATCCGGGATCCTTTCTCTTTTATGATTTCCCCAGACCTTGACAGATCCTTTGATATCAAAGATGTTGATCGATAGATAGGCTTAGCAAGATATTGCAACTGTTTCGATATGCGAGATGAAGGATATATGTCGACAAATCCTGGGTCTGTGGCAATATTTTCATTGAACCTGCAGATTAAGAGCAAGGTCAAACAGGTATGGCTTAAATAAGGCGTGATTTCACTTTCTAAGAACAAAGTACTTAAACAGTTACAAAACTCAAAAGGGAACATGTGTGTATAATCAACACATTCAATTGCAGGAAATATTTGATAAAGTAAATTTAAGAATCATAGAAAGATTCCAATAGGCTATAACTGTTCATAAAGAAATTAGATTTCCCCTTGAGATGCTGGCATATGGGTCATAAGCAGGCATATTCTGAGTAGCCTTCTGTTATGTAATTATAGTTATAAATAGGAAAATATTTAAATATGATATAAATAGGATTTCCTATTTATATCATATTTAAATATTTTCCTATTTATAACTATAATTACATAACACCTTCCTAATCTTCCAACCACAACTTAGCATGGATCACGATTTTTTTTTTTAGTGTTTTTGGTTTTACCCAAGCATTTCTTATGGGTTTCACGGTCTTGATTGTTTTATCGTTTTTCTTTTCTCTTTTTAGTAGTTTGATATTCAGAATATGATAACAAAACTTGCTTGGGAACACATAGTGGAAGAAGAACAAACTAGAGATTTCACATTAGACCAAGGGGAAATAATGCTTAAGGAACAGTATTCTTATACCACTCCGGAAAAGTTATTTAAGATAGAACCACAAGCACAAGGATGGTCAACGGCAAACAGCAAATGTCAATTATAAACAAACTTACTCTCTGCACAGTTGAGAAATTTCAACATTTAGCTGATTTACTCGATCTAATTTCTCTGCAAACAAAGTGCATCATAGGAAGACTTTCAACAGAGAAAAGATTTTCCCCAAAGATCAGAGGACATTTTGCAACATTTACCCGTGGAAAGATGAATTCCACCCCTTTCAAAGTCCATGCGTAAGTTCCTGGCTGCCCTTTGAGCTTCCTCAGAAAGAGCATGACCCTCTCGCTCAGCTTTCTTAACCGCATCATAAAGAACATGATTTGTGTTGAGATGCTGTAAAGCAGAGAGGAAAAGTGCAAAGACGTTATTTTCCATGGTGAACAGAAAAAGATGCCTAGATAAGCAAAAGATGTACTTTGATGGACTTTGTTTAAAACAATAGCTCCACCTGTTGGAGAAAGTCGATTTCATTATCCTTTATCAGCATTGATTTTGTATTATTTAATCAATTTAATTTCTTGAATTTAATGGTTCCTTATATTTCGGCTAGAGAAGAATTTTTTTTTTTCTGGTTTTATTATTTTATTAATCTCCACAAGTTTAGGAAGGTTCTAGGGAGTCTCTGGCTTGTGGCTAAACCTAGTTTTCTCTCCTACATGTACACTAGCTTTGATCGAACACATCTGTTTTCAGCCTCCAGAATCTACACCACCAATTTCATAATGCTTGAATCCTTGGAATGTCATGTAGAACTTATACTTTGAGGCAGCAAGGCAAAAACCAAATATTTCAGCAGCTAACTAGTTAGACTTTACAACTACGCATGTATACATAGTATGGCCAATAGCTGTGAGAATTGAGCTGAACGGCCTAAGTTTATATATGAAAGCCTATAGTTTCCCATTAGTGAAATAGCCTTGAATTTCAACAGGGGCAAGACATAGACCCACCCCATCGTGCACTGAACTGAACTTAAATTGGAGAAAAAAGTGGGGAGTATTGGACTCCTAAAGACGTGGTCATCAAGGCAATATAAACATGTCAAGGACCTCTTCATCCCAGAAGCTTGAAAAAAATAAAAGCCCAGACTTGGTTTTATGAATAAATCTAACAAGAACTAATGCAGGACACTCATTGTCTGACTTTGACGCAGGGAAATAAAAATTTACTCTTAGGAAGAGTCACAACAATATAACCACTCCTTCAGTTAGGTTATGCAAATTTTAACCAATATGGGACCTAGGAAAAAATGCACTAAAGAACCCCTGAAGGATTTCAGTCGTCTTTATAAAGGAATTTAAATGTTCTAACTTGATAGGTTTATCACTTTAACCATTTTATAGAAGCATTATTAAACCTTATATGTCTATAATACATCTCAAGTTCCAACTTTCATTCAATGAAAAACTCTTTTGGCCGTGGTAGCAAACTATATATTTCATAGACCAACCATTCTCACTCCAAAAAAGTTCACAGTAAGCAACGTGAATCTTCAATATCTCAATCTATTGTAAATCAAATAAGCTTCAACTCGGAAAATTTTGAAAGATTTTAATACAGCTGGGACATAGGAGAAGGAACAGAAAAACAGTAAATCTGAAATTAAGCAAGTCCCAGTTACATCAAAATTAAAGGCTAGACTGACTAAGAAATGGAGGAATGCTATTCCAGACATGAGTATTAAAAGAGAGATCCAAAGTCCAAACTGCTGTTGGCCCACAAAAAACAACAAGCCTTATCCCACTAGGTGGGGTCGGCTACATGAATCACACGACGCCATCGTGCTCTGTCAACAACCCAATCCTTAGATATGTTGTTGATTAGGAGGTCTCGTTCAATGACCTCATTCAGCGTTCTTCTCGGTCTTCCCCTGCCTCTTTTTATGGGACTCCATCTTGTTTGATCCACCCTCCTCACCGGGGCCTCCAAAGGCCTTCTCTGCACATGTCCAAACCATCTTAAGCGATTTTCAACCATTTTCTCTTGGATAGGTGCCACACCGACTCTTGTCCTAATCTTTTCATTTCGAATCCTATCTTTTCTTGTATGACCACACATCCATCTCAATATCCTCATTTCTGCTACTCCGACTTTGTGCTCTTGTTTTCCCTTTATTGCCCAACATTCACTACCATACATCATAGCTGGTCTTATAGCAGTCCGATAAAATTTTCCTTTAAGTTTCTCAAGTACCTTCTTATCGCAAATAACTCCGGTAGCTTTCCTCCACTTTAACCAGCCAGCTTGTATTCTATGAGAAATGTCTCCATCAATTTCCCCATCCTCCTGTATAATGGATCCTAGGTATTTAAACTTTGATACTTGAGGAATAATTTGCTCTCCCATCCTCACCTCCAAATCCCTATTACCTTGCCTCCCTCCAAAATCACAATGCATATATTCTGTTTTGTTCCTACTCAAACGGAAACCTTTCGACTCCAAAGTCCTTCTCCATAACTCCAAACTAGTGTTAATTTCTTCTTTTGATTCCGCCATAAGAACTATATCATCCGCGAAGAGCATGGACTTAGGGATTCTTTCTTGAACAGGTTTAGTTAGAACATCCAGAACAATGTTGAACAAGTACGGACTCAAAGAGGATCCCTGATGTAGGTCAATCTTAATAGGGAAGTCCTTTGTCTCCCCCCTAGGCGTCCTTACACTGGTAGTTACCGCCTTATACATATCTTGTATGACTTTGATATACGCAACCCGTACACCTTTCTTTTCCAAAGCCTTCCACAATACTTCTCTTGGCACACGATCATAAGCCTTTTCCAGGTCAATAAAAACCATATGTAAATCTCTTCTTTTACTTCTATATCTCTCCATTAACCCCCTTAGTAAATAGATTGCTTCCGATGTGGATCTCCCTGGCATAAATCCAAATTGGTCCCACAAATCTGCATAATTATTAGTCCCATGTAAGACAAGGTTCTACTTCTCATTTACAATGCATGCATAAGTATATCATTCGTACAATGCAGTTACTTGTCAAACTTCAAGCAGTTCATTATAGCCTCTACTGACACCAATGAATCCAATTCTAGTCGCACTATGCAGTATCCCATATTCCAAGCAAAGTTCAGGCCCTTTTGACTCTTAATAATTCTAAATGGTGTATTCTATTTTATGACCACAAAGATGCACGCAAGATAAAGTAAACTTCTCTGCAGTCAATAAGTAATCTGACTTAATGGACAGGCTGCCCCTGTTCATTGGAGGTTAGGTAAACCAAAAAAAAGACATAGCTTGCTTTATACAAATAAAGAGAAAATTGGACTATTTTTGTTCAATCTTTAGACCCTTTCCAGGTAAGTTTAGGCAGATATAATTGCAATTTCTCCCCTAAGCACCCAGACAACAAGAAATATGGCCCCTTTCTCATCCTTTTGCTTCCAAACAAACGTCATTCCAAGTAAACCCTCAATTCACCTAGGCTCCTACCATTAGTGGCCCACCTAATTTAGGCCATAGGCCTTTTGAAGTCATAACAACTTCTGTCACATTTGTTTTATTCCATCATTCCATGAATAGTACTGTCGAATAAAAATTTAAGAAGTCTTCATATGTTTATCAACATGAAATATCTCACAATCTCTAGGATCATATTTATAGGAAAAAAATGTCCATGTTACAAAAACAACTACACACTGCCAAACTCCATATAAGATCTTTGTTTTTTCTTGAGCTATGGTTTTTATTTCTCTAACTTTTTTTATGAACTTCTTTCCCGGTTCCTTTCAACAAAACTTATGATTTACCCAAGGAACTGAAAAGATTAACCTAATCTTATCACAGAAATTAATACAATTGAAAGGCCAGAAGTAACCCCATCAACTCACATGTAGATATTCATTTATTCTCATCGATGCCTTGTTGGCTTCCTCAACAAATTCCCTGATTTGCCAAAAAATATAATTATTTTATAAGAACAAAACATTTTATACATCAAATGCACAAGGTGTAGAAGTTTTGAGCCACAAAGAAAAATCTTAATATGATTCATATTTAGCTTTAGTTAAATTCACATGCCACCCCATGCACAGGTTTAGAAGTGGCGTGAAAATATAGCATGACATACTCCAAGGAAATGATTAATCTAATAACCAATGAACTTGTCACTATACAAGGAAATCTGATTGTGAATTACTAAAGGAACGCAATTTATAAAAATAATAATAAAGTGTGATAAGAACCTGTTCGGATGAGTATGCCTACAGAGTTCTGCAGAATCAACAACAGAACAGACCTGACACAACAAATACCAGTGTCACTCCAAATGCTCACATTATAATATGTAAGTTACAAACCTCCAGATTTAAGCAAACCGTGTCAGAAATCTCATCCATTGCCCTAACTATTTCTTCAGTTGATGCCATTGTAGAAATATATGTAATGAGTTCTCCAGACCTGAAAAGAGCATAATTAACATCATCAATCAATCCAAAGAGGAAAGACTTCTTCGATAACATTGCATTAATTAATTTTCTAGTATAACTTGATTCTCCAACTTTGCAATAGCTAAATTCATCAGTAAGACTTCTTCCGCACAAAACTCTCGCAAAAAAAGTAAAACCAAAGTCCAACACAGTAGCTACGTCTACCAACCAATAACTCAATATCATAACAGGCGAGGAAAAAGGCCCGAAAAGAAGAGGGAAAAAACGAACTTCAAGACAGCAATGCCCTTCTTTTCTTAGCTTTAGTCTGAAAACAACTCATTAAATGGGCACATGCTACCAGAATAACACGAGTATCTTGTGCTCATTACCTTTCAATAGCTTCGTCAACGAATCTTCGAAAGCCTTTTGGAGTCTTCAAATTGGGGAAACCATAAAGGCCGGTGGGTTCTCCAGGAGCAGAAGTGCGGAAAGTTCGGACAATGTGAGGATTCCATTTGAAGCGTTTGAAATGAAACTCTGAAGCAGCCCTCCTGAATAGACACAACATGATGGAATTATGCGACGCAGAATAGCTCTCAGCAGCAACAGTAGACGGCAACGGTCATGGCGAGCCCGAAGCAGGATCAGGAATATACTATTCACTAACACCCTCGCTCCCGGCTCGCAAATAAGCGCCCGTTTGAAGTGACGATGTTTAGTTTATGTTCTGAGTGAGACGTGATGATCTCATTCCGTTGAGGGGGTGTGTGCGTATCTAAGAATTACTTTTTAAAATCACTTTTTTTTACAAACTGAGATAAACTTCTCCACATATTTATTTTGTATACCGTAAAAACATTTCTGAAATTATAGTTTTGATCTTAGAAATTATGGTTTTGATCTTACCTAAACATTGTCTAAGAAATTAAAAAAATATACAAAAAGGACAGAGCTTTACATGGTATTAGAACCCAGATGCTATCTATGACTATTATGGGGTAGGCTATCCATCAAGAGAAATTATAAAAGAAGAAGATTGATCACGAGCTATCATGCCCAACAAATCAGGGTCCGTTTCAAGCGATTACCTTAGAGGGAGAATTTAACGAATCTAATGGAAGAATTTTTGTATGTTTGGAACCCTGAAACCGAACAAGTGACCATAAGTGACTATAGTATGTTATGTGCAGATACCTCAACTAACATCAAACACCCTTTTAAATTTTTCTTCAACGTGGGGGAGTTGGTGAGTTCGAACTCTTGAAAAATGTGATTGATGCGTAACTTATGGCAAAAAAATAAGTGAGATTATGAATTTCAACTCTCGCCAAATGGCCGATTGAATTATGACAAAACAAATAATAAGACATCATGTTATACCCTCTTGAGCCCAAGTACTTATGCCAAATGTGAGTAGTTGATGACTTGAAAGGAGTGAATTAAATGTTACAAAGCTTTTGCCCTTTTGAGGAACAAAGTGAAAGAAAGATGAACAAGGGAATTAGAAGAGTCCATAAAAACAAAACAAGTGTACTCAAGTGAATTATTTTGATTCTATTCCATTTCCAGCCACTTAAATCTTCATCTACTCCTAACTTGAGATTTTACATTATTTCATAAATTCAATCCGAACACTTGTAAAATCATACTACCTCCGGTCCTTAATATAAGACTTGACTTTTATTTTGGTCCTAAATATAAGACCCCAATCCACTTTGTCTCTCATATTTACTCACTTTTTTCCAAGATAATCCTTCTAATAATTATAGTTCTAGTTAATACACTTGATTAGCAAAGATATTTTAGAAAAGACAACACCTATTTAGAACAAATAACTAACTCAACTTACTTTCTTAATCTCTTCAAATTAGTCAACTGGCTCTTATAATTAAGACCGGAGGTAGTATTACTTTTTTAAGAATCGTGTTCTAAACACTACTTATACGTCCTTACAAGATGTGATAACAATCCCTCAAGACTTTCTAATCTTAAATAACCCTCTAGGATCCTCACTTAACGAATCTCTTAAAAAAAATGATAGAATACCAAAAAAAATCTCTCATATAGAGGAAGATATATCTCTTAAAGTTCTAAATAAGGTAATATATAGTTGGCAAAAAAAAGTTAATATATAAGTAAATGAATTGACTCATTAAATATGGTTTTCTCATATATAAAATTGGTTTTCTCATATTCAAAATCATTTTTCTATATTTCTAGACTTATACCCAGTTTCTACTTATAGTTTTTTATGAGTAATTAGTCGTTATATGCAAGTTTTCAAATAGCACAGCATTAAACAAGTACTTCTAATGAACAGCCTCAACATGCATATAGAAAAATGGACAAAGGCACAAGAGCATTCATAAATTTTTATTTAAACTACGTCAAACGTTATATATATATTTTTAAAAATAAATATAAAAATGTAAAAACAAAAATAGACATCATCAATATTAAATATGTACAAATATTTTAAATGACAAACTTATTTGATTAGTTGGCATCTACATGCTACCATGGACGCCACTTATCCTACTTGCTATTTATAGTAACATGTGTTACTATTGATACATTTTTTAGCAATTAACAGTTTTAAGTGATTTTTCTTCATTTTCTCAAATTGCAAGGATTTATGGATATCATAGCAAATAAAAATACAAGGAGCCACGTAAAAAGAACAAAAGTAAAAGGATTGATTTCATAATTTGGTAAACTATAGGACCAAATATTTATTTTTTCCTAATATTTATCACCTCAAAAATGGGGCGACTCATATTTTTCTATGTTTGGATAAACGGATATTACTGATATGCATAGTGTTTAGTCTGTCTTTTATTTAATTTTTAACTATTTTATCATATTCAGAATAATGGTTGACTTCATTTAATTTTACAAATTTTGATACTACCTCTAGTTCTTAATATAATATTCATTTTAGTATAATTTATACTACAAATTAGATCTTATATTAAGAATTGAAGATAAAAATATAGTTTGACATTTTATGCTACTAATATTTATGGTTTGAATTATAAATTTTATAAAACATAATGTTTAAATTAGTCCATTGAAAAACACATGAAAAAACATAAAAATTTTGTAAAAGTGTCTAAAAGCCCGCAAGCATGTCATGAATCCATGTATGCCAAAGTGGAGCTTTACAAAAGGCAATCGTGCAAAGAAAGCATGGTTTTTAAAATATTATATTTAGTTCTAAATATAAGAATTAATTATATATTTAATTTAGTTTTAAATATAAAATCTCATCAATTTTATTTTTAATATTTATTTATTGTTTCTTAAAATAGTTCTTATAGGGTTACCTATGTTAAATGGTCTTTATTTTAATGTATATGATTAATAAAGATATTTTAAGAAAGACAATATCTATTTATTACAAATAACTAACTTAATTATTTTTTTTAATATTTATAAATTAGTTATTTAACTCATATTAAGGATCAAAACTGATATGGTTTTTTCAAGTTTAAGCCGGTCAAAAGTGGGGCTATTTTTTCACCCCTATGACTAATTCCATAATATTGTAATATATTGGATAGTTTAATTAAAAGAGTATTTTTTTTTTTTGATAAAAGAGGAGGCCTCAGGCCCAAAAACAAGGAAATAATTACCCCATGCCAACCTTATCCGAAGACCTCACACCAAAAACAATATCCTCGACACGCGTATCCCCCCCCCCCACACCTTGCGTTGAATTTCAATCTTGTCTTTTTCGAATTGGTGTTTCACCGCTTCTGGGACTCTATCCCATACACGAACGCCGGCATTCAACTTCAGACCTAATTTGGCCAAAATATCAGCACAACCATTCAGAGATCGACTAATCTTGCACAATTTAACAGTCCAGTTCCTATCAAGCAGCGATCTAATGCGCTTTTGCATACCGTTAGTAAAATCCCCTACCTCCTTTCCTTTTAATTTCCTGATTAAAATCTCAGAATCCGTTTCAACAATAATCTTCCGGTAGCCTTTTTGCCAAGCCAGCTCCAACCCTTTCAAAAGGCCCCAACTTTCAGCTTCAACTACTCCACAGATACCTAGATTTTGAGAAAAACCAGATATCCAATTAAAAGAGTATTTAATATAAAACTATATAATTATTTTTTCGACCTCAAAAACAACGTGCTTACAAGTGATGCGACATTGCGAGTTTGCGACTGGTGTTTGAAATGGGACGCAGGGGCACGTGAGAATCTCTGCTGGAATCGTTGGGGTAAACTGAGAATACAAGAAACCAGCGGGGCACTTGGTGCCATTATCAGAGATACACCATGTAGTGAAGCTCCCGACCACACTCGAGATCAAACAAAACCGAACATGGCTCTACAAATCCACTTCTCTTCCTCCTTCACCAGCAGAACTTGTGATCTTCATCATACCCTTCTCTTCTCTCCCTCACAACCCTCCTTCTTCACTGTCCGCTCCCAAAAGCCCTCAGAATCCTCAAATCCTACCACCAATGTCGATGGTTCTGACTCAGTTTCGACTACTCCTCAGAAATCTAGCTCACCTGGGGTTGGATTCGGGTCGTCGGTGTCGTCGAATTTGAGTAAGAAAAATGCTAGTGCGGCTACTAGTAAGAAGCAGAAGGGTAAAAGGGAGAGGGCCTCCATAATTAGGCGTTCCCCTGTTGAGAAACCAACGTTTGTATCGGAAATAGATGAGGCTAAAGCGAAAGAGCTGCGTAAGAATGAAAGCTCTTTTCTTCTTGCGTGGTTGGGTTTCGGCGCTGTCATTCTTGTCGAGGGCATTTTTATTGCGGCGTCAGGTATGCCTAGATTTCTAGGGACATCTTATCGTATTAAACTAGCTTTAACTTCTGAAATTAGTGAACACACAAGCAACAAATTAGGTAAGCAAAATGATATGTTCGAGATGAGCTGGTTTTCTCATATTCTGTCTGTGGCTTGGATGAAGGATTAATGTACAACGAATTTGTTATTTCTGGAATTCTCTGAGTGCTAATTTTTGGACTAAAGTTGAACAGTTATAACGATTTAAGAGCCGAGTTATCAGTTTACCTTTTTTCCCCCCTTAATTAACCGCTTCTTGTTCTTTTTTTTTGGCCATACTTTTGATCGTAGCTTTTAGCTGGCTATGTAATATGGACCCGTGATATTTGAGTCTTGCGTCATTTTGTGCGTAATTATGAAATTCGGTTTCAGTGTCGTGAAATTTTTCTTTTCGTTGGTTTTGATTTATTCTGTTTGTTGGAAATTTGCATATACTTTAAGAAAATGCCCATTGCCATGCCCTTGGGATGTTTATGTATTAAATTTACAGAGGTGGGAAGTCTTTTTTCTTCGGTATAAGTTAATTAGATAAGCCTGAATTTATGTTAATGTCTTGATCTTTGTATAATGAATGGGTTGGCCACTTTGCTGTCATTAGCAGCATCGTAGATGGCAACTTTATACAAGTCCTTACGTTGTGTCTTCTGAAGTTGCATGATGAGAGCACTTTTAGGCTTAATGGTTGCTTTATTAGTATAATCTATGAAGTTGAGTGAGTACAAACACTTCTGGAGGAACCATGCCTCTGTGACTTTGTCTATAATGGAAGAGCAGTGTAATTTTTCCTTCTCTTCTGTGACATTATTCAATTTTTTTGTGCAGGCTTCCTACCGGAAGAATTGGACAAATTTTGTGTGAACTATCTTTACCCTTCTTTTACCCCAACAGTCTTCGTGTTTGTAGCTGGAACAGTTGTATATGGAGTGTATAAATATCTGCAGAATGAGAAAATTGGAGGTCAGGAATAATGTGACATGTATAAAATTAGAAAATTAGAAGTCCGACTAGGTATAGTAACTGCAATCACATTCCCCAAGTTGTAGTTTGATTCAATGCCTTTTCTTATTGGTAAAAAAGGGTGTCAAAGATAAAAGATGATTTCAGGCGCTTTGCATTTCAATGAGAATTACTTTTTAGTTGATCATTTGGGCATCGAGCTGATGTGCCATCATCATGCATGAGTGTTTTGAGAATTTTGGGGGTGTCTTTCCCCATATTGTATCTTATTGATGATACTCACATTTTATTGCTTCTTCTTGCTAATAGAATATCCTGGGGATGCTGTTTGCAACAAACTCTAAAACAGGCTTGCTTTCCCTCCCCCTTCCTTTATTTATGGCGATTCCTCTTTAAACTGTTAGAATGTCGGTCTTTTGTAGGAATGTAATCTTCTTTTGTCATCGAGAGAGGACTAGTACCATCTCTTTGCAGCTCTCCCTTTGGACATCCCTTTGCTTATTTTTGTCCGAACAGAAATGTGATGATTTTGCATATCCCTTTGATTTTGAGCCTTTCGCTTCATAACACTGGAAAGTTAACGCTATGTATGGGGAAACTATTCCTAACAGAAAGTGTCTACACTTTTGGTTGATTGCACATTTTATGATTCTTATTGAACGAATGGTGAGGAACCAATTATAATAATCAGTTACTATTGTCTTTTTTTCTGCACATTCAAAATTTTGGATGGGGACTGCTCTATTAATTCCTGAGGCAAGATTTTGTGTATCTAAATCAACGCATCATCCCTGATATCACAGGCAAGACCTAGCTTAGAGGGAGGCAATCTTTTGGCTTATGAAAACAGTTTATGGAATTTCTTTTTTATCTTATTTAAGAAATTATACTTTCACTAATGTTCAATCCTCAATGTTGGCCAAAAAAGTTCAATATTCTCACATTTGGCTGAAAATAAAAGATAAATATACTAGATAGTGAAAAGAGCCAATGCTGCTTGAGATCAAATAAAAATATAAAATATGTGCATGGAAGACTTTAAAGGTGTGTAGGCATTGTGATGCTATTTTCAGTTTTGCATGCATGCTTTTTTTGGAAAGAACAACATAGAGGATTGTAGCAAAATGATAGATTATATACTTGAGATATACATGAGAACTTCTTGTATTCAAATTAACATGTCAAATAATATAGAAAGGCATATAAATCAATTTCATGCATGCGTGTAAAGTTTGAGGGAGGGTGTGCGATGAGAATCCAATGCTGGTAATACATTAAATATGAAACTACTCTCTTCTTCTGTGGAGAGTGATTAAAGCAGCTAAAAACTCACAAAATACATGTAAGACACTGAAAAAGAAAAAGAAAGGAACACCCGCAAAGCTCACTATCAGTAGAAAAATTTAAAATATAACAATGGAGAAAGTGACCTTTCCCCGCCCCAAGACCTAGTATTCAAGAAGCCAGGCACCCTCCCCACAAAGTTACTATCTGCTGGCCTTCTCAGTTCTCACATACCTCCTAACCCCGTTAATAAACCTCTCCAATCACATACCTAGTGCGCACACTCTTTCCAGCTCTCTACATTCATGCCCCAAGTAACACTCAGCACTGAACTCTCTTTCCCTTTGGCCAGGCCCTTGTACTCTGTTTTATCTCCATTCCCTTCTCGTAGGGCTTGAGGCTTTGTAGCCCAAAATTTTGCGGCCATCAGTGTAAAATTTTTAAGAAGAAGATGTGATGTCAAGGCTTATTATTACCAACATATAAGTTTTTAAAAATAAGAGCAGTGCAACTACTCACCTTTTTACTGCATGGTTCTGTCGGTAATAGTCTCTATATGATTTTAATTTTTTATTTCTTTTTATTATGAAAATAACCATGATAGTAATCCATGGCTTGATTATATAGTTTTATTATCATAGAGATCTTTTATCTCTATCTACTTAGCTGCCGCACAAAGGAAGCTTTATGCCAATTCTGCTGCTAAAAACAGTTCACATTTTTTCCTTGCTTTCTAGACTGCTAGTTGAGAAACTTAACTGTTTATGTCAAATGCACTATAAATTATGTCTACAAAGTTTGAAATTCCGTGTCTCTTAAAGAATCTTGTTGTATGCTTCTGATGGTAATATTAGCCATTAGATGAGTTTTGCGAAAATTAGGGGGCTTTCATTCTCTTCCAACCCCCCTGCCCCTTTAAACCATCCGAAAAAAAAAGTCATCAGATTTTGTTCCATGTTATGGTTGCATGTATCTCTTTTCTTAATGTGAAATTGTGTCATTCATTATTGTTCAAAGGATGTTGTTGTCACTTTGAACGTACCCATAGGCTAAACATGATTGAATACAACAGAACTGCTATCTACTTACCCTTTGTGAAGTACTTTTACTTTTCTTTGGCCTTGACAGTTTTCATTTTCGCTGCTGGAAATGTGAAAGTACATGCAAATGAGAGCAGTAACAGTATAATACTATTATTTAGGCTACGATTTAGGTCATTTAATGTATTGGAAAGAAACTTCAGTTCAGATATCACAAAGGGTCTTTTATAATTTCGCTGGAAACTCTGTTAGTGGACCCTTTGGGCTAGCCAAAAGGCTATTGTGGACAATTTAGGAAAATTTTTGAAGCGCTGCACTTTATTAACTAGAGTTAACAGTGGTTTTGATGTTACACTCATTGGTAATTATCCGTCTCAAATTCCTGGATAGCTTTTGTTTCAATTCCTGATCATTTATCGTAGTTGTAATCTCTTAATTCTCAACCATGTGGTTTATTCTGATCTATCTTGTTTACAAGCCATAAATATTTAGATCAATGTGTCCTAGTGCATGTTCGGATAAATATTGGAACAAGTTTTGGTTGCTTTTGCCAACCAAAACGTGATTTTGGCTTGTTCCAACTTGTTTCCAAAGATAACTTTAGTGAGAGTTCAACCTATGTATCTCCTGTTTGGTTACTTTTTGCTTTAAACATAACTTTTTTCCAAAGGAGAAAAGGTTATGCTATTGGATTTCTAGTTTTGATCTCTGCATCTTTATTTTGTATCATACACAGCATGTTGGTATTGCCTTATTGGTCTTTGCACCAGGGAAAATATGATTACATAAAGTCATCTTATCTTTTCCATGGCATTTATGATCTCTTGCTCTTTCTTTATCTGAAAAGCATAGACATCTAGTCAAATATGGTTCACAACGAGGACACTTGCACTGCTAAATCTGAAACCTCCAAGTACCTTCTTTTCAGTTGTGTTTTGTTTGACACTAATAAGGCTCATTTTTGGTGTGTCTATGCTCCAGAAAGTAGCTTTACTATATGTTAGTGTAATGGTTATTCTCTCATGAAATGGCTATTAGCATCATGAGGCACCATTATAATATCCTATATCTATATGTTAAAAGTTATCATATCGATCTAATTTGAATGAGTCTGGTTGGATAGAACAACAGGGATACCAAAGCTCTTCTAATTAGGTTTTTAACTGAATTGCTTACCAAGGGTTCAAATTCAAGATTACTGGTGAAGTTGAAGTTAGCACAATTCTCTATAACTTAGCTATTTGTTTATTGGTTGGATATGTTCATTTTTCACTGCTGTTAATGTTATTTTCATTTGCTTAGATCCGAAAAAAGGAAAGGGAAAAAAAAAACAAATATTGGCCTTGCTTTTTTGGAGGGCTAATATTGTAGGAAGTACTTTTTTGCTCCTTTTAGAGGAGCAAAGAATCTGTGATTGCCGGTAATGGTACAATCAAATATTTGTTAGCAGTTGACTAAAGTTTAAAATTTGACTGGTTGATTGGTATGGATTTTGTGAAGATGCATGTATGTGCGTGGGACACATAGTGCCTGTTTGGAAAGACTTAAAAAATCCTCAATAAGCACGTTTTATGTAAGTCGAGACAAAACTCTTTTTATATACTTGTCTCGTGTTTCGTAAATTACTATTGAAAAGCAGTTTATAAGCTACTTATAAGTTATTCCAAACAGGCCTCAATGAATATATTATTTTTAAAAAAATTAAAATTATCTATTATTACGTTTTGAATTGACATTAATATAAAATCAAATTATTTGTCACTATTATTATTAGATGAAGCTTTGCCCTGTCTTTTCCGCGGCATTACTGCCTTGTTCTTTTTTTTTTTTTTTAATCTAAAAACCCTAGGGCGTGATTGATTTACAGATCAGAATGAAAATGAAAAAAAGTAATATAATAAATAATTTTTTAGGATAGGAAATGTCTCGTTTTCTCGAATTAAAAATAATAATAATAATAATAATAATCAATAGGTTCTGTTATTATTAAATAATAATTTAATAAATATAATTGGAGCCTTACACTGACTCAAATACGGATCCATGTGAGATTCCCGGGCCCAGGAACCAAAAGAAAGAAATGGGATGGATCATGAAATTACAAGAAAAACTTTATTCTACCAGGATGGGAAAAAGAAAAAATCTTTTCTTATTTGATTGTCTGACTAAGTCAGATTTAAGCACTGTAGGTGATTTGATTTCTAAAAAAACTTACAAAAATATTTATCAATTATTGTTTATAGGCTTTTTATATCAGTAATAAGATTTGAATTTATGTTTTTATGAGTCAATTTCTTATCAACCATATCAGTTCAAGTTTTTGTTGCTCTTTTTTTCCTTTAATTTGAAAACTCTCACTAAATTTAGCATCTTCCACAGTTCCACTTCAAAAGATTCATATTTCGTTAAGGATAACTTTCTTCAGAAAATGATGCTAATCCTTTTTTATGAATGGGAAGGAATAAAAAATCGCTTGTGGGGGGCATTAAATTAATGTATTTTGGAGGAAGGAATGATAATCATTGATATCTTATAATAACTATCAAATGCCTTTATATAATTTTTTATTTCAAGTATTTTTTTTAATTAATCAGAGGTATTTTAAGCAAGAAATTTTGAATTGAAGTCAATCCGAAGATATTATTTTTAAGAGACATATTTATATGGTTTTTGCAACTTTTACACAAAAACATATAATTATCTAGGCCAACAAGAAAGTGTATCTTAGGCAAAAAATTTAAAATAAAGTAAATTGAAAATAATTATAAATTCTAGTTCAGTATTTGACGACAAAAATAAAAGTATACTTTAATGCTAAATGATCAAAATACCTTTATGTTATTTAAAAAAAAAAAGTCAATAGTCATCGCAAA